GGCGTTGTAAACAAAGCCATGGTCAATCTCAGGATCGGCTACATACTTACCTTGAGAGGGGACGAGAAGAATATGGTAAGGAGAGGATGGGTAGTAGTTCGTGGGGAAAGAGGATCGACCGTGAAAGAGGTAAGGGGAGAAGGGACGGGTGGAGAGAAGGGAGGGGTCGGCTAGAACTAGGATTGTGGTGAGGTTCTTTTGGGTTTAGTGGAGGGAAGCACAAATTCGAAAATCCTGAATTTTATTTCAGATTTTCTAAAGGGGAATGAGGATAATTTGAATACAAATTAACCCCAAAATTAGGGCTAATGGGAGGCGGCAGCTTTATTTGGGGAGGTTTAATTGGAGAAAGAAAATCCAAGGGAGGGGCCGATTATAGGAGGAGAGGAGAATATGTCTAGATGTAATGTATGTGGTCCCCAATGGAGCTAATGTGATTTAAATCAAATCAGATTTTAATTTCAGATTTGATTTAACTTAAGATAACTTTCTAATGAGGGATTATTTTCATAGGAAGGTGTTTAAAATTCAAAATAGATTAAATCCAAATAATGAATCTTTCCTAAATAGCATGGAGGTATTTTAGGAAAGTAATTATAGGTAATTTTGAAATTTGAAATTCAAATTTAGGGGAGTATGGAAGGGTGGCCGGCGGGTTGGATAGGTAGAGAGGAGGGGGGCTGCGGGCTGGGCTGGCCGTTGGGCCTTGGCTGGAGGCCGGCGGCTTGGGAGCCAAAGGGGCCGGCGGTATGAGTTTAAGGAGGAGGTTAATCTTTGAGAAAACAAAAAGAAACAGATGTGGTGGAAGGGGAAGGCCGGCAGTGTTATGGGGAATTCAGTGGGTGGGGTTAGGGAAAAATAAGAAGACGACGAACCGCGAACCTAGGAATCCACCAAGGTTGATGGGTATTGCTTTCACCCACCTAAGGTCTCTCCTCTCAAGAACCCAATTAGAGATCAAGCAAAGAAAACTAATATTTCATTCATCATTCATCATCCGATACAATAGAGGAAGCCACAATATATAGGCCTAAGAAAATAAAAATACAATGACTCAAATGCCCCTGGGGCTACAACTCAAGCAGACTCAAAAGAAAGGGTACAATCGTAAATAGCAATTAATACATAAAACATTAAAATAAAGACTAGGCATCAAAATAAAGGCTGTGGATCGTAGCCATCGATCTGCGACTCATGTGCTGATATACTCATCGAAAACGTCTGTCGATGTCCTCAGCAACCCCTTTTCCTCTATGAAAAGCAGTATCTATCATTAAGTGGGCTTGAGTCTGCCATTACAAAGCAAGCACTGATGAAAAGATAAAAATCCTCTGAATGCTACTATGGCATCTCAATCTGCCGTCCAGCTTGATCTATTGATGGCCTTACCCATGGTTATTGGGCTGAAAAGGGGTTTCAAAACTGCATTGGGCAACATCATCATCATACAACTTCAATTTTACTTAGTATTCTCTACATTCTTGCTTGGAACAAAATCCTATTACTTTGGACGAACAATCCTACATGGCAGAGTAAAATATCGAGCTACTGGATGAGGATTCGTTGAGCGACATGTAAAGTTTGCAGAGAATTACAAGATGTACTCTAGCAGTCATTTTACAAAGGGTATAAAACTCATGCTTCCACTAATTGTTTATCAGATCCATGAATCTACAATTATTAATTCAACAACCATTATATTTCTCACTGCATCCATGTGGTTTCTTGTTGTCACCTGATTTTTTGTGCCATTTCTTTTTAACCTTTATGACTTTGAATGAAAAAAATAGTTGATGACTGGGATGGCTGGAGCAAGTGGATAAAAAGTAAATGCATTGACAAAGAATTACTGAAAGATGGTATATTCTCTAAAGTGAAGCACAAGTAGATAATGAAGGATACAGAGCTGGATCATGTGCTACGTGGTTCTCGACAAAAAGCATATTTTGTTGTTAAAATAGATTATTAGGAGATCGTTCCCTTCCTTACACCTTGAGGATAAGGTGGTTCTTCAGGAGGGGAGTATTGATACGCTCCCGGTGGAAGATATTTAGAAGGTTCCTAATCAAGGGGAGTTGTTTAAGAATGTCCCTAATTAAAGGGAAATTGTTTAGGAAGGTTTCCTAATTATATTTATAATATTTAGAAAGGTTTCCTAAATTCTGCTTAATTGTTTAAAAATGTTTCCTAAATTATATAGGATAGAAGGAACCTATAATCGAAAAAAAAGTTTCCTAAATTATGTTTATACTATTTAGAAAATATTTAATTGTTTAAAAAGGTTTCATAAATTATGTTTAATTGTTTAGGAAGGTTCTATTTGTGTTATTGTGCTCTAGGGCAATTTAAGGGGGAGTTGTCTAGGGATTTAAGTTCATGCTTTGATTGAGTTATGTTTGTTGTAGTTATTTTTTAGGACTTCCTAGCGATGTCTAAGTTGATTGGAAGAGTTGTTCTACCTCTCGAATTGTAGATCACATGTATCTTGTTTTCTCTTATTAAAGTATTAATACAAAATCAACCACCGTTTTGATTTTACTGTAGTTTTTCTATTATTGTTACTTGTTTTTGCATCCAAGGCGTATCACTTAAATCTCACATATTTCTATTCAATATTCATTTTAATTTTCAAAACTTTGGTCTATTCTTCAAAAAGGAAACAGATTGGGATATAAAAAAATTCAGTAATGCTAACTTGGGTGGGTTCATAATTAATCTAAAAACCACTGGGTATTATTCAATTGTATGGGAAAACATAGTTACTTGCAAAGGTTAAAAATAGGCAGTGGTTATTAGAAATAGCATAGAAGTATAATTTAAGGCTATCGCTTATAAAATTATGGACGAATGTGGCCAAGAAAGTTTTTAAAAGAGCTAAACATCTCCGTTAACAAACTAATTATAATGATATATGATAAGCAAACTACAATTAATAAAGCTATTGATGCGGACATCTGACGGTAGATGATATTCAAAGGAAGAGTTGAAGATCGACGGCCAAGATCACTCCATTTTATTTTAGTTTTTTAATTGTATTTTGATTTAATTTTGTAATTTTTCCTTTTTACCCTTTCGTTTAAGAGTCTTGTCTTATGTAAGCCCAAGGGGCAAATATGTCTTTTAATTTCTTTTTAGGCCTATATATAGAGGCCTCTTCTCTTGTATTAGGCATGATAGAATTATAATAAAAAATTTGTGTTTTCGCACTTTTGTTCTTTGGGAAGAACCTTGGGTGAAATTCCTATAGGATGAATTCATAGCTTCCACCAGCCGCAGGATGTGTTCGGGCTCGTGGCCTGAAGTCCCTTGGTAAAGGGCAACGTAGTACCCGTCAACTGCAGGATGTGTCCGAGCTCGCGGTTGTATCTTTCTTTCCCTAAATCCTCTTCTCCTCCTCCCTTGATTGCCGGTCAAAATCCCCCACTTTCCACCGGCCGATTCTCCCATCAACCCTTCCACTTCCACAAAACCGACCTCCCCTTCTCCCTACCACGGCCTTAGCTCCACCTCCAACATACCCGCCAACCTCCCTAGCCGCCGGTCTCTCCAATCCGCCGGTTCATCCCCACCATCACCCAAACCCACCCGTCATCAATCTCTTTGCCTAATATCACTTCCCTCCAAAACTCCTCTTTCCTTATTTAGGATGTCATTAATTCGAAAAAATTTTAAATTCGAATTAATCTAATTTGAATTTCAAATCCACCCTCATTAATTACATTAATTTTGAGAAGTTTCTTTATTTAATTAATTAATCTCATATCCAAATTTCAAATGCTTTCCTAATTAGTACATCTATTTTAGGAAGCATCCTTCAATCATATTAAATATGAAATTATTTCAGATTTAACTCTCCAATCTCCCATTAATGCATGGTGGGTCCACATACATTGTATGTGGACACTTTTTTTTCTCTTCCCTCCATTGGCCAGCCCACCTTCTCTCCCCTCTCTAATTATTTATTCCCTAATTTACAGTCTAAGATTAGGGAATATTAATTACCTCTTCCCTCCTTTATTCTTCTTATTTGAAATTCAAAATTTTTTAAATCTCCCCCACCTCCTGTTCTACATCGGTTATAGGTCCAAAACACCATGATAGAATAAAGCATACTAAAATTGATACACATTTTAGAAAGGAAAAATTGATCAAAAGATTATTCAAACAAAGTGCATTCCGACAGAACTTCAAATAGCAAATATCATAATCAATGGCCTTGATCAATCACAATATAATAAAATAACTTTCTAAGCTATGAATGATCAACATATATTTCCAACTTGAGAGAGTGAAAATTCTATAAAGAAAGTCTAGTTGTGGCCCACACCTACTTATCACCAGCAATCCGTGTGCTTTGATTAAATCAATCATAAGATGGTAGTCCACCTCAACAATCCGTCATTGTTCGTCCGTCCTTATATGAACCTCCATGAAAAACTAAGAAAGAGTTGATTCTATACTAATTATTTCTTAAATATAGGACTAGTAACTTGTATATTATATAAATATATACCTCTTCTACAATATGAAATAAGGGAAATAAAATTCAGAATCCTTTAATCTTTTTTGTGCCTCTTATTTAAACACAAATCAGTTATTTTGTTGGTTCCTGATAGGAGGATGAAGTTCAAACCATCTCGTTCATCATGGGCGTTGTGTGGCATCAAAGCACCATGGTAGGAAGAACATTCTTCCTAACAAATAAATTGTTATAAAGCTAATAATGATTTTTAAACCATACACAATACTTTCATGAGAATTTCAACAGTATATGTAAATGTTTTGAGAGCATAAACTAGCTACTGTATAGAGCAACGACATTTCTAAGGACAAACTCAGACATGGATATGTTTTAATGCGGTTCTTCTCGTCAAATGACATGCCAATAGCATTCAGTATTTTTAGTAAAGGAACAGCTTTTCCTAACTCACGTAATACTATCTTTTACCATGAAATTCAATCACCAAGGCTTTAAGAGATCAAGCTATAAAAGTACTTACAAACTAGGCCCATGCTCATCATGACCAGCAATCAGAAGTGAGACTCCAAAAGGGCGTGACTGAAATAAATATAACGAATTTTGAATAAGTATATTTCACGTGTTAACCAGGCTCGGAAAGAAATTCCACAATCTGACATCAGAATAACAAGAAACCATGATAAAGCTTGTTCTTTGATACTTAATTATGCTTTTGCATTTAGCAGCAAGAATTTTATGAACACAACAAAGTTTCTTCCAACAAGAGAGACAAGGAGGTAAAATTTCATGAGAGAATTTCCAACCTTAATGAGCACCTGCATGAGGTGGTGCCTAGAAAATTTAAATGGTATAAGCAAAAGGGAAACATTCATAATGAAAAAATTATTTTTTTTTTCCAAAAACAAGACTACAACACCAATGAATTCAATGCAAGTCTCAATGAATTCAATCATGGGGAAATTGCACAAGAAACGAGTAGAACTGAATTATAAACCTAAGAAAAATACATAAACAGATGCTTTCACTCAGAGCAATCCTTAAAAAAAAGATTAACCACCCACTAATTCCTCTATACTGGAAACTGAACGCTACCCACACAGATCCAATGAGCTCATCAAGAACTACGCACCCTCACTCCCTCCAAACCATGGTAATCAGCAATGGGGCCTCCCCTCCCTCTCTCCCCCTCCCTTCGTCTCCCTTTCTCCAGCACCCCCAGCCCCTCCCCCTCTTTATCCCAAAAACCCCCAACTCTCAACAGTACCAAAGAGGTACGATCAAACTCATCAAAAAAACATTTCATTAAAATGCTTTTTGCAAGAAACAGATTAACAAGATTACTATCCAAGCCTATATCAAAAGCCCATTTTAGAATATTTTCTACAAATATCTATTATATAGGCAATATTCTGTGGAAAAATTAAGGACCAGTTTGAAACCATCCCTCTGTGATTATTTGGAAACTAAAGAGTAAAATGCAAGTCCTACGAAAATTATCACCATGAGTTTTTATCAAAATACTAATAGCCAAAAAAAAAGTAGGAAAACTCCACTAACATTTTATTAGAAAGCTGAATATTTTAACAAAAAAGGCAAAACATAACCCAAACACCACCATCCCTAAGCAGGTGAAATTTATCACCACAATTTAACCTTTAGATTAGGAGATAAGAAAACAAAAGTAGATCCTTAAACAGTAGTCCCTCCCTCCATACACACATACACAAAACAAAAGTAGATCCTTAAACAGCCCTCCCTCCATACACACATACACAAAAAAATGAGAACAGAACAGTACCATGACGCCCATAGCATATTTATCATCGTTACCTAAACTCTATTGCATTGCTCAAGCAGGAAGCAGGAAAAATAAATAACTTCAAAAGTTATATTACAAACACATGTTATAATGATTTTCCATCAATAGCTAACATAAATGAGGGCTTATATCTCAGATGGTCGCCACCAAGCAAAAGCTACCTCATTTGTGCATAAGATCAGAAGAAATACAACTATACTGCAAACCCTTGAGCCGGCCCACCAAAATCTATTAAAATAGCATAAACGGCCACCTCAAATAATACAATGGCAAACCCGGGAGTCATTCGCTCCAAGTCCTCACTCATTGATGCTTCAAAATACATCATAGATCATCATCGAAAGTTGACTCCTCATCTGGAGGGGTGTATGTGCGTGCATATATATAACCATTCTAACCTGAAAGCATTCATAACTTATTTTTTTAAACCAGCCATATCAAAGTATTGTTCATATCTCCGTAGATTGATCCTCTCATTAGTGGAGAAATTATTGTGTACTCAATCCGAACGTGCTCGGATGTGCATACACACTGCTTATTTTGTTGTGTATTTTTTTATACATAATTTTTTCTACGTATTTTTTACGTATTTTTTGTGTATTTAGTGAGTATTAATTATTTGCTACTTATTTTGCCACGAAAAAATTATGTATCAAAAAATACGCAACAAAATAAGAGTGTACGCACATCCGAACACGTTCGGATTGCGTACACAATAATTTCTCCTCATTAGTGAGGCTAGACAAGGCGATTAAGGTTGTAAGTCCTTTGCAATCAAGTTGCAAGTCTTTGCTTGTGCTCAAATTGTTCAAATTATTTCTTCTTAATATTCAAATGGAGTTCAAGTTTGAGTCTAATGTTTGCAGGTTCAATGTCATTTGAGTCCAAGATTATGTTCTAAGTTCTAACTCAAGTCCAAATAAAAGTCTTTATTTGATGTTCTAATTTTGTTCAAGTCCCCTGCAGTTCAAATCAAATTCTTGCTTGGATCCAAATTGTTTAATTCATCTTCAATTAGTGTTCAAATCAAGTCAAAGTTCTTCTCATGTGATCTTGTTCAATTCATTTAATGTTTAAATTGAGTCCAAATTTAAGTCAAACATGTTCAATCAAGTTCAATAAAAGTCATTTATGATTGCCCAAGTCTCCCATATCCTCAGTCGAAATTTCGACAACCTCCCGGTGTCTCCCCTGTTTAGGAGAAAAATCAAGAGGCAACATTCCCCTCCACGCTACACGAGGGCTTCAGGTAGATGTCCGTAAACACTGCGGCTACATTTATCTTCAATCCCTAAGACGCTACATGAGCGCTTAGGGGTCTTGGGCACCTGTTGAAAAGAGCACAGGGATTTCCCCACGTGTGGGTACTTAATTTTATCCCCCTCACGCTACATGAGCAGTACGGGGATTACCCATCTCGTTGCAAGCGCCGCACCAAATTTTCTCCCTACTACACTACGTGCTCGCGTAGGGAGTTTGCCGGTTCATCACAAGCTACGAGAGAGGAATTTCAAGTCATAAGTCAAACCTTGGGGACCAGGAGGTGGAGGGCACGTGGATTGAGGCAAGAGAGAGGCATGCTTCCTTTCTCTTTCCTTCTCTCTTTTTTTGAATTAATTATAATTAACACTAATTAATTATAATTAATGAATTAATTATTTTTAATTAATTATAATTAATTAAATAAATTAATTAAAGTTTATTAAAATTAATTATAATAATAAGTTATAATTAATTACAACTAATTAATATTAATTAATTTTAATAAATTATGATTAATTAAAAATAATTAATATTTTATTATTATCCGAACCTATCTCTGCGTTCGGTCACCTGACCCAATAATTTGCCCCTTCACAGCGGCGAGCTCCCGTCCTAGCTTCCGAACAAAATGTCATAACTTCCGATCCCACAGGAGGGAAAGTCGTCAGGGGAGCAAAGCCGAAGAAGCACGCGACAGGGAGAAAGTACCTTCACAGCGGCGAGCTCCCTTTCTTGTTTCCGATCGAAATGTTGTAACGTCCGCACCGACAGGAAGGGAAGGGAAGTCGACGGGGGAGCAAAGCCGAAGAAGCGCGTGACAGGGAGAAAATACCTTCACAGCGGCGAGCTCCCGATTGTCGCTTCCAATCGAAATGTCGTAACTTCCTTTCGGACAGGAAAGGAACATTTTCGAAGGAGCGAAGTCGAACAAAAACGAAGAAGCGGAGGAGTGAAGTTAATTTGTCACCAGGTACCCGAAGCCTTCCCTCTCTCGTGTATTTAAGGAGGTGAGATCGTGCGACGTTGAAGAATGCCGAAGACGTGCGAACGACGTGCAGCCAGTTTCCAGCGACGTGTGACTCTCACGTACGAATGAAATTTTTTTTGTTTCGGTTTACTCACAGTACACAGTTGGGCTTAGGCCCCTAATTTTTCCAAAAAAAAAAAAAAAACAGTACACAGGTCAACAGGTTAATCGACAAATTAAACTGAAAAGAGAATACATAACGCGACATGGCTGTAAAATCAAATATATTATTTAAAGTAGAAAACATTTGACAGCTATGAGAGGTCGTCTTAGAAAAGGATATGTTGGATTTGTAATGGAACACATATTTTGCCTTCCATAAAAAAATATTGAACTAATATAACAAGAACTAGGAGATATATATATATATGGAGGCCCAACAAATAATAGTTGAAATCTGAATCAGCACTACTAACCATAGATTCTTCTTCGCCCTCACCAAATCGAATAGCATGATCACAAAGCGCTTGGGTAGTAGACTCAACAGTCATTGGCTCACCATAGGAAAACCTGTGATTCTAACAAACAAAAAAAAAAAGAAATACACATACAGAATAAAAAGTTCAGCAATTGGCACATGCTTTTAAAGGCAAGCTGTTGGTGCTCAATTTCCATTAAAATCACCTGTGTTTCAACTCTTGCATGCTCAACGAGTGTGCGGGCATCAGCTATAAAACCACTCATAGCACATCCAATGTGCTCATCGATCTCCATTATTTTCTCTACACTGCTTGGCTCCTGAACATAGTGATGCTTAATCAAAAATATGTCAAAGAGAATGGAAGATAAAAAAATTGCATCAGATCATTTCACCATAACCAGTACCAAGGTTCATAAAGAAGATGAACAAGAAGAAAAAATGAAACTCCTAGCAAGTACTGCACCAACTTCAGAAAGGTGCAGTGCAAAGAAGAAACTTATATAATTAACAAACAAAACAACGGTTATAGTTTGACCTTTCCAAAATGTTCTCTACTTGCTGGTTCTGCTGTGTCTTAATAAAGATGGTTCGTTATATTGGCCAAGCAAGGTAAAACCCCGTAAAGCCAATTGCAACATTTTCAACTGAGATTTCGGGGGACACTCAAGATTAAATACGAATGAAAACCTTAGAAAGAAAAGATGATTCATGCCACAATACAATGCTGTAGAATCTAATCTGCATATAGGACTGCAGTGGATGACAGTTAGAGACCTAGATATAACTTCCATAAGGCAGTTAATTTTTATATGAATTTCAAGCGCATAACAAATGTAGGGTTAGCTGAGAACAAGCAGATTTTAATTCCGGTGTAACTTATGACTTCTCTTGAGTGATGCAACTGAACAAAAACATGCACCAGACAGCAAACATGACAGAAATTTACAAAAAATAAAAACTCTGACCAGCGTCCTAAAATGACAGCCAATTTAGCATTTTTGGGTTATTTTTTGAGGATTTGAAGCATCTAACTTCTTTTTGGAGGGCAAAGAACAATGCCAGCTAAGGTGCTACCGTAGTACTAATTGAAATTTTTTCTTGCAACTTTACCTTCGCATTTTACGAGGATATTTTGTGATTCAAATCCATGATCCCCATGTCATAAAAACAAAACCATTGCTTCAAACCTGCAGTCTAAATGGTTCATGCCAAAACGTATAGATTGAGTTTGTGATAGTTTAAATAGTGTGAGGAAGCTCTGATTTTTTATGGAGATGTGAGGAATCCTATTGTTTATAATCAGAATTAAAGATAAGTGGCATAGAACCACCTGATGTGACAATGATGTAATGTCCAACATTACCAAAATCAACACTGGAAAGATCCACAAAACTATATTATAATAGTTTGAATAGTGTGCAACGGATTCGATTTTCTTTAAAGATGCAATGAATCCTAGGGTTTACAATGAAAGATTGGTGACGTAGGACAACTTAGCTAACCAACTACTCAAAAATACTAGACTAAGGCGGAAAGAATAACATAGGCTTTATAACCAAAGGTGCTTTACAATATCCGTGACATATGGCTCGTTTGTTTTGGCATTTCTTTTCCTTTTCTTTTTATAAATGGAGATTTTTTTACGCTGTTTGGATGAGACACTTCTATAGAAATGCTTTTTAGAGGACTTTATTTTTCTACTATTTTGAGAAGCTTTTTGATATTTGCTTCTCCGTTAGAAAACTTCATTCCTTTAACCATTGTTTCTAAAACTATCTTTTACAAAAGGAGAGGATGAACCAAAAAAAGTCCCAATCATCCACCATGATTGCATGCATGTGCATGACTTGATTATCCAATGCAAGGCTGCTTGACATTACAAATGGTATTTTGTTCTTTTGACAGTCCTCTACCACTCCCCTTCTTGGATGCCCACTAGCGCCACCAACGATTCCAACACATGGCAGGCGCTCTAATATCAACTTGATGTAGGATCACTAAGAGTAACCAACTGCCTTAAAATCCTTACGTAATGGAAAATGCACAATTAAGACTTAATGTTTAATTGTCCAATCACCCCATGTCCATAAATGCGTTACAACATAATGACATTGTAGTCCACTATGTTGAATGCAAGTCTAGGACTCAATCATATCATTGATTTGTAGACTATTATTATGATATCCTCTTGATAATCCTTTACCATTCTCCTCCCATGGATGCTCGAGTGCATTCTAAGGGACTTGAATCTGTGACTTGTACTTTAATACCAAATTGACATACGACCACCAAGCACAACTAATCACTAAGTACAACTAAAACCATATAGGCAATGGTCCAACCACCTCAGATCCACAATTGTGTTGCAACACCCATTACTTAATCTTCCGCAATAGTCAAAAATAGGTCCATGAATCAATCATCCACCATGGACTTCTAGAGACGTGATGGCTGTTATCATGTTCTCTTAATTGTACCACTAAGGATTCGAAAGTAGGATATGAAAAAACAACAAAAAGATGGACACAGTGTTTTCTTTTATAAATTATTTATATAAATTGTGTAATTAAAAAACTTAATACTAGTATTTTACACCACAGGCATCAGATAAAGAAGTGTAATATCATATACATTACATAAGAAGCTTCAAAATTAATGGTCAATGCCACTAGCATTAGTCATTAAAGCCAATAACAAGTATGAGAAATTATACATATTCTCCGTAAATCATCCACACAGTTCAACCCATCAAGAAATCAATATGTAAATCAGCAAATCAACCCCAAGAGCTGTAAAGTAACTTAAAAATCCGATCAAAACAACATGAATTTATTAACATATACCAGTAGAGGTGATGGCAAGCGCTTCTCAACCGCGAGCACGACTCCTTGCTTCGTCTTTATTCCAATAGCAGTCGCACCAAGCTGATATAAAAGGTTCATCAATATTCAACAACATAAGCCTTCAAGATAAATTTGTCAAATTAAAAATTATAGAAAAAACTACCCTACCTTTATAGCCTCTATTGCATACTCAACCTGAAGCAACCTTCCCTCAGGCGAGAAGGTGTTGACCCCTCGATCATATTCAGTCCTTGAAACAAAGACATGTATCATAATTCATAAGCACCCTCTACTCCGTAAACAAACAATGAAGAAAATTAAATATAAAATTGAGGCCAAAGAGAACTAACCTCGTGAGAAACATCTCCAAGATCACCAGAAACCCTGACCTCTCTGGGAAAAGCTCTGTTTAGAGATTTCGGTGACTGTGAGGAGCGAGAAAGAGCAGAGAGGAAGAAAGGTCTGACGAGTAATGGGCGAATACCGCAATGGGCTCAATCAAAATAGTCCAACTGCGAAGCAAGTGCAAATGAGCAAAAAGTTGCGATGGGATCGGCATTTTGTTAGATGAAGATCGTAAGATGATTTGGTTGCCAAAATTTTGGTCCATCATTACCGGAACCGATTTCGCGCGCAGTTACAAAGAGTTTTATTTTGGGGATTTATAAAAGCACTACAAATTTTTTATGTAATAATAAATTTAATAATTATTTTTTATATTTATTTATAAAATACTAAAATTTAAATTATATTAAAAAAATTACTAATATTGATATATTTAAAACAAAATATTTATTTTAAAACAAAATATTATAAAAATAAATATAAAGATTTGACTATAGCTATTGAAATATATAAATAGATATGAATGTATACCCTTTTTTTATTTTTTTTAATCTTTAGCATTTTTTTTCAGAAGTAAAATTTGGACGCCATATATACTCTGACTACGATATTATTGTGTATTTAATAATCAAATATATATTTCAAAGAATTTTAATTAGAGTTATGCTATATGAGATTTCATAAAATTTATCCCAAGTTTATTTATCATATAAGTTTAAGGTATCAATAAATAGTCCGATCAATCCGGATTCAATCTAAAAATTTCAGGTTCAGATTGATCCATTTAATAAAAGAATTGAGTTCAAATTTATCCGCCAACCTGACTTTAATTCGAAAATAACATGTTTAATATTTTTCTTAAATTCTATTATTTATTGAAATAATCTTCTTATTTTTAATTACTTGACTTAAAATGTATGGGTAATAAGTTCTTTTTTTAATTAAAATAGGTTAATTTTGGGTTTAATTTTTTACCCATTTTTAAAATGGGTCGGATTCAATTTGCCCATGTTCAAATTGAATCAATTTCGGGTCTAACACGAGCCCGACTTGTTAACTTATTTTGACACCCCTATTATAAGTCATGATTGACTTATTAATGATTTAATGAAAATAAATTTAAGTGTGTGTGTGTGTGTATTTGGACATTTAGGTCAATTAAGTCAAACACATACACACATCATATACACAAAGACTCAAACCTACGATCTTATAGTTGTTAGCCTAAGATCTGAACCACCATGTAAAAACGAGTTGTGTATGTTAAATACGTAAAAAATCTGAAATAAAATAATGCTTATGTAAATCCTCTTTTTTTTTTTTATATCCACCAATACATGCGGTCCGGTCACAGGACGTAGCTCTACGTTCGACCGCCAGTAGAATCGCGTCATACGTTCTCACTATTTACCACACGCCCCGACAACCCGACTCTGAACGAACCCATGATGGCTCGGTATTTCTCGATTTTGCTAGGTATTGCTCGGTATTACTCGGTATTGTTAGGTATTAATCGATTTTGCTCATCAATAACCAATACCGAGCAAATACCAAGTTGCACCGAGTTTTTCTAGGTATTGATACAACTCGGTATTGCTAGGTATTGTTCGATTTTGCTTGGCAATAACCAATACCGAGTAATACCAAGTTGTACCGAGTTTTTATGGGTATTGGTACAACTCGGTATTGGTATTCTAGAAAAACTCGATAAAACTCGGTACAACTCGGTATTTGCTCGGTATTGATCTTGACAGAGCAGTATTTCTCATTATTGTCATGCAATACCTAGCAATACCGAGCAAATACCGAGTAATACCTCGCAATACGCGAACATAGTATTCTCAGGTTTCGATCCGGGTCAAGTTGTCGGGCCGCACGGTAGAGAATAAGAGCACGTTGCGATATGTTACTGGCGGCCGAACGTAGCTCTATGTCCGATCATAGGATGTAATAATTGTTCGGTCAATGGGCCAAGAGGAGGTATATTCATTCGATAATCTCTATGATCTTTTTCTTGCGGAGCAAGTCCAGAAGTTCGAATCTCCAAGTTAATCAAACGGTTATCCAACCCGGAGTATATTTTCGTGCTACTTTTACCTGACACAAATGCGTCTCCATTGTCCCGCTCGTTGTTTCGCGCAAAGGTCTGCGTTCTCCATTCATCCACGGTTGTCCTCGATTTCCCCTCTCGCAAGAATTCGGTGTAGAAGCAGGAGCTGAAGCAAAGGCTTGATACCCAATCTAGGGTTTCCAATTTTCGATTTTCACTATCAATACAGAATTCCTGATCCTAATACGAGAAATCGAAGAATGGCATCTGAGGAAACGGTGAAGGAGGAGTTACTAGCGTTGCGGATAAAACTTGGGAAGAAGCAGACATTCGAGGAGGCAGTCTCCTCGATAGCGTCTCTTCTACGGGGCCGTTACTCCTCAGCCTCCGCTTCTATTCGTAAATTGGTAAATTCGGTGCCTTTGCTTTAGAAGTGTTGTCCCCGTTTAGAATGTTTTTTTTTCTGCATCTCTCTCGTAAATTCTTTTTATAGTTCAAAATTTTCCTATCATAATCTGATTGGATGATTACAATTGAAAACGTCTGAGATTGTATTAGATGGCTGCATTCTTATATTCGATTAGGTTTTCATTTGTAGCAGTGAATGATTTAGAGTTTTGATGATGGATGAAATTGAATTTGATGGAAACTTGTTGCTTTTATCCTAATTCCTTATGCTGATTTTGGTCATCTCACTGCAGCTCTATGTTGAAGGATGATTTTAGGAAACAAAGGTCCAGCGGTGTTTAAACTATGAGTTGGTGAAAATCTCTTTATCATTATCATCGTTTGCCTGGCCTGAACTATTTGAGACAACCTTATGAATCTTCCTTCATTTATTCCAGTTGAGTGCTACAGGAGATATTAATCTATATTACACAAGTCTTTGCACGACTTCGCTCTAGCCATGGTTTCTTTTCTTCCCATTTTTCTTCATATTCTTTTCACATCAATATTTATTTACGCACCATATTGTTACATCTTGCAGCTTCTTCTTTTTTTATCATCTTCCCTTCAGTGGTTGCTACTCTGGCATGCATAACTTCAATATGTCTTTAACATACTCCATCTTAGCATTCTCACCTCTTCAGCATGTCACTTAGTAATCTTTGAGTTATTTGATATTCAATTCTCATATCCGTATAGCATAATTGTTCTAATTTCAGATTTTAACGTTGTGATGAATGTCATTGTCTATGATGCACATACACAGATACAATACGAACACGTGACACATCAATTATTGAAAATATATGACATGGAGATTGGTTGCATATGTTATTATGATTTTTATGTATTAAAAATATTGTATAAAAATAAACTAAGTATAATATTAAAAATAATTTAGAAATAATAAGTCATTTAACTAAAATTTGTGCTTAAAATAATTAAGTCATTTAACTAAAATTTGTGCTTAAAATAATTAATATTAGGATGTTGAGAGTCAGACATCGATATCGTGTATCAAGCATCAAGAGAAAAGGCAATCATGTTGTCGAAAGTCGAACATCGATGTTATATAGTAAGTATCGGGCACCAATGTGATGAGGACGTTTGTCGTTAATGTTGAGAGGGTGTTGGTCGTCAATGTTAAAAGAATGTCTGAACTATGTTGCACCGATATACCTATTTATGAAGGCGTGTATCTAATACATCAATACAAGTCGGATACGCCTCTGATACGACACCTATACATGTTGGATACGACAAAGATGTATCCAATTAAAATACTATTTAATTTCAAAAGGACACGCGTGTCCGTTGAAACAAAAAATCCGAAAAAGAATCATCGTATTTACTTCCGCGGTCGCGAGCGAGGTTCTCTCATTTTCGAGATTGATTTGAGTCTCTTGATGATATGAGAATATTAGAATTTGCTAATTTTTCACTTGATGAGCCTGAATTAGAAGCTATGATATTTATTGAAGATGATATAGAAGTTCAAAGACAAACCGCTGAAGAAGCTAATCATATCATTCCTTCTATTGAATAGTTGAAACTTCATGTGCTAGACAAGTTATGTTTATGCTTTTGTTGTTGTACTAGACATTTAATGCTTACTTTTATTTTGATATTATAAACTACAAGGCTACAAATGATGTTACTTTTATTTTGTTTTTGTAATTTCAAATATTATGCTTTGATTGCTTTCTTAATTTTAATGTATGATTTATAAATTATAATGTCGTGTCCGCGTCGTACCTATCTTGTACTTTTAAGAATTGACGTGTCCCGTATCTGTATTGTATTGTATCAGTGTCATTGTATTCGTATCGGTGCAACATAGTGTATGACAAAGACGAGCTGTCAAATTGTAGGCGTAGAAATTGCTAGCGTCAAGCATCAATGTCAAAGATAGTGTCAGACTTCGATTTTGAGATGACATCAGTCATTGTTGTAAAACCAAAGTCGTGACCTGCCAAAGAGAAATGAAAATTAGAACATTCGATGAATGGGGTATTGAGTGCAGGCAATTGATTTGGTGTTGTGGATAGAAAAAAAAAATAGTTTTTATATTTTAAATAAATAAAATTTTTAAATATAAGAAATTATATTTTTTTAAATCATAAAATATTTAGGACATGCGTGTCCAGTTTGTATTTAATATTTTTTAATCAGACACATTTTCGGTGTGTCCGACACGTGTCAGAGGCGTGTCGGATATATGTCTTGTCGAATACATACTGGACATTGCACGCTTATTTGAGGAGAAGTGTCGGTATTGTTATTCAACCCTTGGACCTATAAAGCATAATTATTAAAATTAAAAAATAGGAAAACTTTCATGGCATTGTCTCTTTTCTTTGTACTTCAAAAACATTTGTTTGCTTTAGTTAACCAACTTAATATAATTATTTATGTTTTTTTATAACCCTATGTATAGAATAAATCCAAGTTATTCAAATATATCATATATAGGTTTGCTTGATCTTCCTACTGATTATTACAATCAACTTTATATCCACCAAAATTAAATATCTTGTTATATAGATTTCTCTACTTTTCCTCATTACCTTGTCTTTAGAATATTTGCTCAATTGTGCAAAATTTTCAATTTCTTCATAACTACGCTTTCTGCAAATAACATATGCAAAAGTACCTCACTTCAAATATATTAAATTACAATATTATTGAAAATGCTTAAGATACTCTAGCAAGTACCTTATGATAATAGTCATTGTTGCATTGTACTAGTATGTAAACATACTTTTGAAATGCACCTTCTTGTTGAATATCGCAAATCACTTCTCGAAGTATTTGATCATATCTTATTGCAAATCACTTCTCGAAGTATTTGATCATATCTTATTTCAAAATCAAATTTTGTCATATGAAGAAATTTCATTCCTTATAATAATTTTTCTTGATTTCCTTGGCAAAAAAATTTAAATCCTTAGTTGAGTTCCTTGACTTAAAGTCAACTCGAATTTTTTATACTGACGTGATTTATCTAAACCTTTTATCGAATATTTATCATATGAATCCAAAGTTTAAAAAACTTAGAACATCTCATTTGTTATTAAAGAATGTTCCAAAATGCTTATTCATGAATCACTTCCCATCGTCAACAACAACATCAAACCCTTATCTCACTATGTGGGATCGACAACATGAATCATTTCCTATCATTAAACATTTAATTATTATTTAAAATATTTGTTAATCAAATTATCCCAGTGTCTTTTATAACTTAATAAATCTTAATAAGCATCTTATTTGGATCTAAAGCTTTATCTTAATGGGTATTCTTCAATGCTAATTCAATTCCATTTATTTATGGATAAATTTATAGTATACTTCATGATTCAATGTAGTTTAATCTAATAAAATTTTTAACCTAAATTTATTATCAATTGATTATCTTAAAATTTGTCACCATCAAACATGCTTTAATTATGATTTTGTTTATCTTCAATTTAATTTCTTCCAAATTTTGCTATAGATTCGAGTCACATTTTTACTGTGCTAGCAATGTAAAAATTGTTTAATAATGACTTTAACTCATGAATTTATTCCTAGTTTGTTTAAAGCAAATAGGGCAAGTATTTTCAGCACTTATTGAGTCACTTTTTGGAAATAATTGTACAATAGTAGATAGAAGATTTATTGTTATAAGCTGTTGAAGGGATTGAGTCTAAAAACTTTTAAAATTGCTTCTTCATGCCTATTATGGGCTTTGAGAGACGTTTTCATAACTAACACTGATTGAAAGGATATTATGAAGTGAACTATTGGAGTGGAGAATGATAATGCAATGAGAATTGCTCTAAAATTTTGTGAGAAGTGGTTATGAGTATTGAGTAAATGTTAGGGAAATGATCCCACCTGGGAGCAACAATGAACAAATCGAGGTACATAAATCATCCATAAAAAAAAAATCAAAAACAAAAGATAAGATTTTTCACATGGTTTAATGAAGTCTCCAACTTGAAAAGCCACTCAGAGTACTAAATATTTCACCAGTCAAGATATGTGTATAATGATACAAAGTATTTTCTCACTCATCTTACTAGCAATTCTTCCACTCTCTCTCTCTCTCTCTCTCTCTCTCCTCTCATATCAACCTTTTTCTTTCTATTTCCTCTTAAATTCTTCACCCCTATTACTCTAGAAGGCTATGATTTCTTAGGTAAAATAAATTCAAGGAGGAATCACTATGTACATTAAATCTATGTATATAATAATAGTATCATCTCTTGTTTCCTCTAATTTTTTAGATTAAAATTATAAAGAATAGAAGGTTGTAGGTTCCTTGCATTACAACTTCTCAAAAGCCCTTGACCCCTCACCAAACATCTCCTCTGTGGATTTCACTAGTAGCATCACTGTGCTACGATGACCTTCTATTATGGAAGAACTTGACTTTTCTACCCGATCGTTCAAATCATTGCTTGAAGAAGTTGATCCAACACCAAACAATGGCCAATGCTCACCTAACTCGATGGAGTAATGTTGCAACTCTAACCGAATATATTATCCATAACCTTGGTCTCTACCACCTGCTCTTATTATTCAACCAAGTCTCGCCACAAACACCAACTGTCGAACACTAAGAGCTTGTTCATTGTTAGTTGATCTTTGCACACAATCAACCCATTGGACTCTATTTGAGACACATCATCGCATAACTTCACTGTTGCTCACCGCACAACCTCATCACCGCCATTCTTTGCATATTGCATATGGACTCAAACTTAGATTCAGGATTAAGCGCAAGTCTTATGTTCTTGGATTCTCAATTGTATTTATATTATATGAATTAATTTTATTTTAATTAAGTAGGAGTTATCCTTTTTGATAATCTTATTTTTTGAATTTAAATTAGATGAAAAGAATTAATTTGAATTTAGGTTAGACGATAGGATCTAATTTTAAATCTAAATTGTAAATACTATTTATATAAATTGGATTGGGTTGATATTATTTTTGGCATCTTTGAAATTAGGAATTATTTATTGATTCCTTGTTCTCTCTCTCCTTTATCGTTGATTCCTCGAGTGTCTTTCTAAAAACATAATTTTAATCTCTCTCTCTCCCCCCCCCCCTAAGTTTGCCCCCCCCCCCCCCCCCCCCCAAACCTCTTTCTCTTTGTTCACAAATGGGCACACACATTTAGGGCGTTATTTCTATCTCATAATTAGAATCACTAATTTCAAATTCATCTCTTTCACTATTTTTATTTTGAATAGTGAGCACGACTCTTCCCTTATATCCTCTATTTTTTTTTTACATCTAATTGGAGAAATAGAGATAATTTTTAGAGTAAGAAAAAGATCAAGAAGAAGATTTATGAATACAAAGACTCAAAGATGTTGGTATAAGAGCTTGAATCTTGGAGATATATCGTAAGCCACGATTTAGTATCACATTCCATTAGCTTAATTTTTGCCTGAGGTATGATTCACTACCCAAAAGGGCCAACAATTACTTCCCATTATGATCATATTAAATATATAAAACATTCTATACCTTCGAGCTGAGTGTAATCAAAATTCAAGCAAATCGCTGCAGGCTTGAAATCAACTTGAAATAGATTTGAGCCAACTACCTTTGTTTGAAACTCAACTTGAATTTGTTTGAGTTGATTTCGATTAGACCAAAAAATTGAGTGTGTTCTGAATTTTGGGTATTTTTATCACATGTGCTCATTCCTATGGCTTACCATAAACTATTTTATCTTCGTTCCCAGCCTAGCTCTACTTTTCAACATAATATCTTTGGTGGTTGCTTCTCTTGATGATGGGAAGGATGGGTTGTGATTAAATTTCCTCTTTGATTTTACATTTTCTTTTTTGTACTTGCAAATATTGCATTCATTTCCACCCATTATTTAAAATTGTGCAATATGAGGCTCGCCTTGAGGTCCGCCTCAACGCAATTCTAATGAAAAACATCTTGAGGTTTACGCCTCAAATTTTTTTATGAAGCTTGCGCCACAGCTTGATTGAGGCCTACCTTGAGGCACGCCTCACCTCGCTGGCGTAAGGCTTATGCCTCACCCTATTTATATATTTTTTTTATTTAAACTTACATAAATCCTAAAATAAAGCCCAGAACAAATCACACCCCTGAGTTGCAGCAACTTCCTCTCGAGTGCCTCAACCTCCACTTATCGCATTTGCCATAGCCACCGCCATCATAACTGTCATCAATGATCACTTGAAAGTCGCACACAACCATCTCCGTCACCTCTAAAAATTTTCAAGTATTAATCTCATCTTTAATATTGATGAAAAATATTTATGAAAGAGGAAGATGTCTTGAATAAATGAAGAAGAAGCATATTAGGAGGCATTTGATTCCACAGGATGAGACGGGAAAGTGACAATTTTGTTATAATGACGACTCAAATAAAGAGCCTCTTAGTGATGACAGTACATATGATTTTCTAGCTTTTGCCAATTATTTCAACCTTTTTTAGAAATTAAATGTAAATGAGTAGGGAACTGAGAAAGAAAGAATTTGGAGTTGAACTTAATGTTATATGACACTTATTTGCAGTTTTCATATTTAATATTTTTTGCTCATGTAGTATTTGTATTTTAATTATATTTCATGCAATTTATCACTAGCTGCTTTAGGTCTTGTATAATTTTGTGGTTCAAATGTATGTCAATATGTTACTTCATAGTTCAATAGAAGGATAATGTTATCTTTTAATATATTAATTGAGTATTATATAAAAAACTATTTTTAATATTTATTTGTGCTTTATGCAATTTTTTATTTTGAGGCTTACGCCTCAAAACGCTTTGAGGCTTATGCCTCGTCTCACGAACAAAAAAAAAATCTCACTACCCAATTGCGTAATTTTAAACATTATTTTCACTTCTAAAACTAGATACTACAATGTTGGGCCAGCAAAACCTTTGCTTTAAGATGGAAATGTCAAATATAATGCAGCTTGAATTTCATGAATGATGAATTTGTGTTTGATTATTTATGTGACGCTCGAGTTTATTATGTTCTTCATTGAATGATGATCATCTTTTTCTTCACATTCTACTAAATGAACTTGCTTCATTACGAGATTTGGGAAAAACAAACTTTCAAATTTTCTTTTGACTCCAGTAAAAAGTTTAATTTACAATGATTATATCCTTTTTAAATTTCTTTGCGATGAGTAACTTGTTTCATTAATTATTTCAGATTTGAACAATCTAAGGAATTCTTACTTTTAGTATAATCTCTTACCCTCCTTTTGTTTCAGATATATTCTACAGTTTGTCGTGTAGCTACTGTTCTTCAAACTAGATATACAGCACGTGGATTTTGGCTAGCTGGCTTAAGTCTATTTAAAGAAGCAGAGAAGCTGGTTACAGAGCCATCTGAAAAGGATCATTTACATCAATGTGTTGCTAGGGCTCACGAGCATTTGAATGATGTGGAGAATGAGACTCCTAGTTCTGAAAGAAGACAATCAGGTTGTTTTGCTTTACAATGAAATTTGAAGCCAATAAATGTTATTTTCGATAGCTTGACTAATGCAGTACTCCACTTTTCAACATAATATCTTTGGTGGCTGCTTCTCATGAGTGAATATGATTTACAAAAAATTATCATGCAAAGATTAAGCACCACAAAGAGAACCCTAAGATTTATATGGTTCAGCTTGAGCAAGACCTGTGTTCACAAGGGAGGAGAGATGATTCAATTAGCTGAACACAGAGGCCATAAATGATTTGTATGATTAAGGACACTCGTCAACTCGCTCAAATCCTAGGTACACTCATACATCAAATATGAAACTCACATTTAAGGTTACCTCTCATTAATAAAGGACACTGATGAACTCGCTCAAATCCTAGGTATAGTCATAAAGAAACTCACATTTATGATTACCTCTCATTAAGATATCGACGTCTAAGATGATGCCCGTCATAACCCGTTGCTTGTTTTTTGGTCAGTTGCTAAATTCCTATAGCTAAAACCAAGAGAGAATCCAAACTAAGAGATCACTTTCTTACATACTCATCAAAAACCATAGTTGAGAGGGTTACCTTGTTAAATTGCTCGCAAATTCCTAGCGGAGAGGGTATATCACAAAGTTGTTAGGCTTAATTTCAAGCCCTAGTGAGAGATCTTTTTATAATAGTGATCCGAGAGAAGGAGCTCACAACCCTAGGTAACTTCAAAAATTATAAGAGATTAGTTATCGCTAAAACAAGTTATAAAAGCATGCAAATTCTAAGAATTGGTATGGTTTTAGGTGTGAATATCTAAGATAAAACTCTTCCATGAGCACAATGTTAGGCGGGCCCCTCCGGTCCTTACTCTAGGCGGGCCCCACATGGAGTTAATTCAAGGGTTGGAGGGAAAATTTGAATGGAAGGGGGGGAATTTGAATAGAAGGGCTGTTTAGGGATTTTGTATGGGGATGAGAGTTAAAGAGGGGGAAAGGGGGGAATTAGGTCCTCATCTTGAATTTGAATGAAAAGTTGGAGATCTCATTGTGTGCTTGGGCTCTAGGGTTTGCTAGAGACTTGTGGAGAGTTGTTCTTCCTCTCGAATTGAAGAACTATTGTATCCTTGCTGTTTTGATTCTTCTTCTAGTGGAATACAAGTATTGGCTTGGTTTTATTCCAGTTTTTCCCACTGTTTTCTCAGTTTGAGTGCAGTTTTCTGCTGTCCACAGCAGAAATTCTGCTGTTTTCCTGCTGTTTGCTCTTCCGATTGGCTTAGGATTGCTTGCGAACTCAAGTATTACCTTAGGGTTACTTGCGAACTCAAGTATTTCCTATCACACAACTCATGAAGTTTATGTAACCATCTTCACAAGGCTTGTGGTGAGTGTGGTTCCCTACTTATGGTTTCAATCCCAGGGTATATATGTTTGCATGATAGAGCTAACAATTCAATTCCTTTCTATCATTTCAAATCAATAATATTTTCGGCTTATAGTTCCTCTGCAATACTTGAAATTGATGCAACACATGTTGCACCAAAAATAATAATATTGAGTTAAACTTTCTAGCAAATCTTCTCGTCTCAGTATCATGACAAATTTGGTTTTTTTTTTCTTTTTTGACGCATCTCCAAGTTGTGCATTCTTACTTTCCAAAGCCTTTAATGTCTTAGCACCATGCAGTTGCACTAGGCTTGGATGACAAATGAATTCAATACCAACGAGGGACCTATGTAGCATAAATTTGAAGATGGGAGAAGATACGATCCATTAAACACAAAAGCCTATTGTGATGTACAATAAAGATCACTCAACCCAGAGTCTAAGCCTTTCTTTCATCACTGCTCGCAAAACTATAACCAAATGGCACATTATTGAAGCTTTCAAGCTTAGCTTCAAAGACTAACTTGAAAGCTTATTGCACACACCTGAGTGATCTTCATAAATCCCAAGTCATTTTACTTGGAGTGAAAAAAATGTCATGAAAGGATGTGAATCCTAAGAAGTCGTTTGACCTCAAGCATAGATCAAAAGGATGGATATCCATGCGATCTTAAGTTTGTATGGACTAAACATTGCTTGAGGTGAGTGCTTCCCTCTAAGTATAGCTCCAATTTCGATGCATATATAACTTTGCATGAATTGAGGTAGCAATCTGATCTATTTGATTTATCTCAATGTGATCCTCATTTCAAATCATATATAGTATGAGAATTTAGAGTATGTGCAATGGTTTTTGGATTCAGTGAAATATGTTGCACCAAACATAATACTATTGAGTCAAACTACCTAAAATAATCTGATCAAAATGGATTAGATATGCAAATTTCCAATTCTAAAAGGAATTATATTATTTTTTAGAAGGGAACTATCGAAAGCTACTTTTTCCAAGAAGGTAACAGTCCAAGTGCACGTGTCGAAAGCTACCGCCTGCCACTTGGTTTAGCAGTATTGCCTTTGTCCTCCAAAGCGGAAGTCCAAGGTTGAAATACATGCTTAAAAAAGTGTATCAGATTAATGAAAAGATCTACATGGTGACGTCCTTGGAAGGATGGCTTGCTTAATCTAGAGGCCTTTGTGGGCCAATGAAGCTCCTTATGACGTTTGTATAGAACTGGGAGTGGGACTTGCTGGGCTATCTGTATCTCCAACTAATCCTAACCCTGGTTGAGGGAGAGACATAGGACTATAGGAGTAAGTAAAAGATGCTTCATCATTGGAAGCTTTAAAACAAAATTATGTGATTTTACCTTCTGATACTTATGGTTGAAAGTTGTCTTTTGGTGCAAACAACCTCGACGTGAACTGGTGTTTAAATCAGCTACAGGATTAGGAAAGAAATTAATGTAAATATTAGATATGAAGTTACTTGTAATGCGATGGTAAAGGATTTGTGCCATTTTCTATTGAGAAGATAATTTTGAAGGCAACTTTAATGCTCTACTCCTGGAGGCGAAAAGATACTGAAAGAAAGAAAGGATGCTACAATGTCAAATCCAGGATTTTTATCAGTTGCCTTGCATACACGTTGTATCATATAGAACCATACAACCGGGCTTGGATGGGTCCAAGCGGTGCATTTAAACATGACAGTTATGATATTTTTATCAAATTCCTTTGTTGGTGGAGTGATTTAAAACGTCCTAGTTAGGTTTGCTGAACCTTGAGGAAGATTATGACGCATATGTGTGATGTGCCAAAAGGCATGTGCACTATGTGTCAACTCTATGTTTGTTTAAGTATCTTTAGGGTAATAGACACTTAAAGTTATTAAGATGTAAGCAATTTGCGAATTGTGCATGTCACAAAGAACTCAACTAAGATAATGCTAACATTATTGAGCATAGATTGATTAACACTAATCAGCAAATAAATAATGTGCTGTTACCATAAATCCTTAAATTTCTTAAGTGCAAAATTAAATTTTTGTTGTTGGATTGGGTAGCATTTATTTTATCATCTTCGTGTTATTTCCTTCAGATTCTAGGTACCTTTTTGAAGGCCACTTGACCATCGATCCTGAACCAGCACCACCAGCATGGCTTGTGGCCCAAAATTTACTTACAACTCTTGCAGTTGCACAAGATTGGACTGCCACAGCAGAATCTTCCCAGGTTCAGGAAGAGAATAGCAATTCAACTGAAATTAGTACAGTGCCTGAGCTTCCTGAGACTGTCAGAGAGTTAATGAGTAATTTACAAGAGATAAATGGCTTTCTAGATCTTGAAAATGTCATTGAAGCTTCATTGCAGGTGATATCATGCATTGCTTAATAGTTCTCTTATTTTGAACAGCTAAGTACATTTGTAAAGATAAATAACTTTCAATTTGGGATCAGTACATCTGAAAAGTTTATCACATGACGTTGTTCAGTGCACTCTTGCAACTCCCTACATATTTGATCTAGTAAGCTGATACGTCTTGAACCACAAAAATCAGTGAACAACAGTAAATTTCAGCCAAATAACAGAATTTTATCGTTAGGAAATCAAATAACAAGAAGCAAGATACAATTGATCCTCTTTCGAGAGGAGGATATTCTCTCCCAAACCCTAGGATCCCTTACAAAAGAAAACTACAGCACTCAAGATAAAATTCTGCATAAGAATAAAATAAACCCTACTATGGACTTAAATAGGCTTCCTCCCTCCCACCTAAATCAGCCCCCTTCCTAATATATCGACCTCATTAATTTAAAAATAATTCAATTAAGAAAGGATCTCTTTAGGAAAGGATTTCCTAATTCAGCCTCCTTCCTAATATATCTCCCTCATTAATTTGAAAATAATTCAATTAGAAAAGGATCTCATTAGGAAAGGTTTTCCTAATTTATTTCCTTCTAATATAATATATTAATTTCCTGCTGGCCCCACCCCCTTAACCTCCTTTCTTTCCGATGTCCATTCCTGCCGTATCACTGCAGCTCATCTATTTTTAGCTCTTGCAACTGTTTAATTACAACATGTCTTTGTTATTTGTGAATTATTTGTGAATTTAGACCTACATCTTTTCCGTTTTCTCATGCCTTTCACATTGATTCTAGTCACTTGCCCTACTGATGCATCTTTGAAACCTCTTCTTCTCTCCTTAAACTCTGTTAAATCATCGAATTTTGTTTTCTACAATAGGTGCTATTTGGACAACCTCTTCTGTTTGTCTCATAAAATCCTTGATCACTTATTTTTCATGAACATCATTTCATATTCTGTCACGCCATACAGCAGGCTTCATTTATGTAGGACTGTTGTATGCACATTTACTGCTTTGGGCTGCCACTTCATTTATTGCCTCATAGAAATGGCTAATCAAGCAGCTACTATACTTTTTGACCAAAACACTAACTTATTAGACTCTTTACCGCATGGAAATGAACTTTACTCTATTTGGTTAAACCAACTAAAATTTGATTGTAATTATTTGGCTAATTGGATTGGTAGATTTATTTATTATTAGACCATGAGCACGAGCAATTTTGTAGGAGCACCATATATATTTAGCATAGATGCATGAGACAATGCTATCTTGCTTTTACTTGTTTTCTATTTTTTGGACACTCCTAGAATATGACTTTGGCTCATTTCATGTCTGTTAGGTTAGAAATTTAACTCATTTTCTACTTATTTCCTTATATGTCTTTATTTTTATGTAGTTATTTCTTTGTTTAACTTATGCCTAAGAAATGAATGAAGAATTTAGATTAATAAAGCCGATCTCAAATAGTTGGGATAAGGCTGATGATGATATAATCTATTATCTAAAGCCTTCTATCATCTTATGTACTTGGGCTATTCGCCCTTTAAAAGTGTTGAGTTTGTCCTAGTAGCCGCATTTTGACTTATTTGTGTCATTATTAGGCTTCGTTTGGGATGGCTTTCTTATTGCTTTATAAAGCAATTTTTTAGCACAAAATTTTTTATTTTTGAATTAGAAAGTTGTTTTAAAAAATAGTAAGAAAACCGCCCCAAACGAAACCTTAATCTCACATTTTAATAGATGTTGGGTTTACTTGATCAGCTTCTATAGTAACTTATGATGAAAGGAAAGTGCTAATAATTAGCGGAAATTTTTCCTCACTTGTAATATTCCAGGAAATTGGTGCTGGATCACACAAAGCGCCCCCTGCCTCAAAAGAAGTTGTTGCTAGTCTCCCAGTCATTGATGTTACTGACGAAGTGATTACCCGTTTGGGAACTGAGTCTGAGTGCGCTGTATGCAGGGAGAACTTAGTTCTAAATGACAAGATGCAGGAACTTCCCTGCAAACATCTCTTTCACCCTCCTTGTTTGAAACCCTGGCTGGTAATAATACTTTTCTTCACGCTGCTGCATTTTGAATTTTGTATTAGTGTTTTAAATTAAAACTCTGTTGAAATCTATGTACTCCTCTATAACAAAATATATCACATATATATAACTGTTACATTACAATCTCTTGTAACACCAATACAATTATAAAAATTATTATTATATTTTTATTAAGAAACTCTTTGTATTTTTAAATACGGGAAGTTTTTTTCTTATATAATCTCTTTCTATTTTAGAATTAGTTAATCTTCATGCATTGTCTCCAATATGTGTGCCTATAAAGCCTCTTCAAATCTCGCGTGTGAAGTGAGGTATTCTGATGTAGATTGGATCGTTGGAAGAATCGGACCTGCTTGAAGGGATTTTTCAATCAAGGGAACAAAGATAACACCAAGCTTAAAGCTTCAAAAAAGAGAGAATATTCATCATGTCCTCTTCCTCTCACACATTTCACATATATACTACTAAAGTAGAGAAAACCTAGAGAATTCTAGAATATTCTAGAAAACTTATAACAAACAAGATAAAATAACCTAAGGAACATTATAAGCTAAAAATGCTCCGCATCATTATCTGAATCCTAGAAGATTCTAGAAAACTTGTAACAAACTAAATAAAATAACCTAAGGAATATTAGAAGCTAAAAATGCTCGGCATCATATTCTCTCTTTATCATTGTTGCAGGATGAGCACAATTCTTGCCCAGTTTGCAGGTATGAGCTGAGGACTGATGATCATGCATATGAGAGCTGGAAGGAGAGGGAAAAAGAAGCCGAGGAAGAGAGGAAAGGAGCAGCTAATGCTCTTCGTGGTGGAGAATTTATGTACGTCTGATAATAGTTTTTTTTTTCCTCCCTTAAAACATACCAGATTACTGCATCCACTTCTCACAAAATATTTGTTTTTTAGTAATGTATTGTGTACGATTTATTTAGAATAACTGACTTCAAAAGCTTGTCCCAGTCATTCCAGTTGGCTTCACTTTTTTTTTTTTTTTTTTTTTTTTTGAGATAGTTACAAACTCAAACATACATAAGACTTGAACCTAAAACCTCTTAATTGGTAGCTTAAGCTCCCAACTAACTTGATCTGTATTGGCTTCACTTTAGTATTACTAACACTTGGTTCTGTTACTGCCAATTGTATGTCAAGTTATCAAAATGCATTCATAGATGATAATAGAAAGATAAAGGTTCAATTTTCTTGATCTTTTTAAGCTATGAGTTCTCCCATGGCTCGCCAGCCAGTTATCCAAGAATGTTTTACATAAGACAAAGTTACTTGAGAATATTTGTTGAGTAAGCAACTTCCATAATAAATTCTAGATCAAATTAATATTGATATATCGAGTAATTTTAATATGTTATTTATATTCTTAATTTGACAAATATACTCAAATTCTTTTTGGTTGCACGAAATAATAGAACAAATTATCGCGTGATTTCACGCATATGTGTGAGAAAATAAACATCACAGGACGCTATATTTTCTTCCTTACATATTCAAGTCGAAGCGTCGAACTGCACACCAGCCTCTGATATCCACTCACGGCCATTCAAAAAAGAGCCCACTCCATACTTGCTGGCCTCATTCGCGTCAATCGCGGGCCTGTAACCGGGCCACGTGACCCGGCCGGCTACATTCGCACCGGCGCCGGTGTTTTGGAACTCAGCATAGTTGATGGTTTCCGGCGGAACAGTACCAAACACCCAAGGCATCCAACCCGTCGGGTCAATCACTGCCCCTATCTCCGATTTCATGATCACCGTCGTGGAGTAATTCTTCCAGGGACGGCCGAGGAACGTCGGGCGATTGACGGCATCGTAGGGTTGGATGGTGCATCCTTGAATCGAGAAGCCGGTGTTTTGATTGGGGTCATTTCTCCCCTGGGCGGTGATGGTATTTGACTGATTGGGAAGCGGTTGGCGCGGCAGGATCTTGCAGTTTTGGAAGACGACGGCGGCGTTGCCGAAGATGAAGTCGACGGTCCCGATGATGTGGCAGTCGCGGTAGAACTGGCGGTTGGAGTGGGCGTAGAGGGTGTCCTGGAAGGCGTCGAAGGAGCAACGGTAGAAGATGGAGTGGTCGGAGCCGGAGCGGAGGGCGACGGCCTGGTGCTTTTCGGCGCCGGCGGAGTTCTTGAAGCCGATGTCCTTTGCGACGAAGCCTTTTCCGGTGACAACTGAGAAGAAAAAGACAAATAATGAGGATGAAAATTTACGATCTAACAAATGAATTGCTTGGCATACTCTAATTTTGATTTCAAAAGATCCGCGGAGGTAAATATGGTCTATTTAAAAGAAGTTATTTAGATGAGTGTTTCACTTAAATAAAATGAATGTAATATAAAATTAAATAATGATGATAAAGGGTGACAGTATGCAACAGTCTATTGTCATAACAGTCGATGGGAGGTTCGCAGGCGGAGTCGGACCGAGATTGCTTCCGATTTTATAAGTGTGGCAGTAAAAACTAAGCACACACTTACAAAAATTAGATGGTCCATCCTTTTTGACTCCGCACGTAATAATTTCTCGTCGGTTGATGGCGATAACTCATTAAAATTACGTTGAAAAATGATTTTTGTCAAACATATACAAATTTATAATATATCAAAAATAAACTAGAGAGTTGAAAGAAATTCACTAAAGTTTAAATGGTATTATTTTTTCATCAAATCAAACATTAAAAAGTTCTTGACATAGTTCACTTTCCTTTTTTTTTTTTGATAAAACAGCCCCTAAATCTAAAATTTTAATGTAAGGTGAAGGCAATCACTTAATAGTTCCTTAATAATATAATTTAATTAAATTTAATATCTTTTATGCCTAACAATATAATCACAATTAAACTGCAAATTTAAGGACATCATTCTTGTTTAATTTCAAGAAGAATGAAAAAAATTGTTGCCTCTATTTACGCCGGGTGAATCTCCTAAATAGTTCTATATAAAATTCCTGGGAGAATTTCTCAAGAGTGATGAGAGAAGCTTTTTTAAAAATATTTTTTATTTTGCTTTTTTAACTCTGAATTAGTATTAGAGATCATAGAATGATGAGAGAATATTATGAATAAGTTTCTATAATTAATAAATAGATACTTAATAAAAATTTTAATTTAAACTAAATCTCAAACTTTATATAAAAATTAGTTTTATTATGAAAAATTAAAAAAAATTATGTAATAATATTTTGATATAAATTATATCATTATATATTGCACATTAAAAAATATTTTTATTTATTTCAAATCAAAATTAATCATTTTAAAATTCATCTTCATGTAATATGTTTAAGAATTTAGATACAAATTTTCTCAAAAATAATTGATAAAAAATAACAATTTATTATCTAGAAGCGTTAAATCTTTTCATCTCTAGAGTCCGGACTGTATTACATTAATGAAATAATATAAGAAGAAAAATTATATGAGAATATTTTGATTAAAATTTTATTTTAAAAAACTAAATTTTAAATATATTATTAAATTAATTTAATATAAACAACTTATATTTTTTATTCATTTTAAAATTTTAAATTTATATTAATTAATTTCTAATCAGAAGATACTGGTTTTTTTTTTAATGAATGGGATATCAACCAAGTGTCACCTTCAAAAAAATTGTTTGGCATTGTGACTAATCCTCAGATGATATAGAAGAGGCACCTACCGACCTACCTCAAAAACCTCCTATCCCACACTTGATTGGGCCCCACTTAAGAGGCGTTGCTGCTCGAGGGGAATCGAGCATGGATTAAGAATTCCCAATCATACTCGTCCACCAACCAAACTAAACAACGGTGGATATGACGTTTCTAATTTTACTTATAACATTATAAGCACATTAATGCAAATTTAAAACATGGATCACATAATGCATCTAATTCTAATTCATGGAGGAAAATATTTCCAACTGTTAATCAAATTTCATCAACTGTAAATGAAGCAAAAGTATGTAACAGTACAGACCATAAAAGATGAACAGGAATAAAAATCATTAATAGACAATAAAATTAAGTGAACTTACCAAATGTTGCAGTGGAGAATGTGGGAGTGCCATCAATGAAGTTCTTGTTGCCTGTAATGATCGTCTTGTACATGCCGTCGCCCACCAAGACGACGTTCCACTTGTTCTTGTCGACAACTACATTTTCCTTATACTCACCCTCCTTTATATAGATTACAAACCGCCTCAAACTCCTCCTTGGAACCATATCCACCGCTTCCTGGATGCTCTTCACCTTCCCTGATCCATCCATCGCTACAGTTACATTCGCCTCTGTTTCGTCGGCCAACAAAACCCTCCTCTGCGTCGTGGTAGCCAACAGCTTCCTGTTGTGAGGAAAATGCAATTTCTCCATAATCCCCATTATCCCGGTCACAATCGCAAGGCTGTTGCTCGCGAACTGCGTCGAATTCACCATCGCGGCCTCCAGCTTCTCGCGAAAGCCGCCGGTGGTCCCCTCGAAGCTGTCCAGGCACGTCTCCTGGTCGGTGATTGTTGAGCTGAGCCATGTCTTGAGATCGCTGATTTTGATGTCGGAAAAGATCTTTTCCCCGGGCTTAGCCGTTGTGAAAACAGCGGCTGAGTCATTCAACCGATCAACGGCGTCACCGAGAAGCTCCTTGCAGTCATTGACAGCCGCCTGGAGCCGAATGTCGGTGGTAGGGATTTTGAGTGTGGAGAGGAAGGAAGAGAGCTTTGAGATGGAACGGGAGGCAACCACCAGGGAAAGCTGGAAGAGGGCAGCCGGATCGGTGGCGACGGTGGAGGAATTGATCACGGCGGAGGAAAGGCTAGCGAAGCACGAGTCAGGGTAGCGCGTGACGCTGCAGATCGCTTTGATAGAAGATGATGCGGATATGGTAGATTGAGGGGAAGAGGAGTTGTCTACACTCTTCCGTTTGTTGACGATGACAGAGATGGCAACTCCAGCGACGATGGCGATGAGAAGGACGACGGCGACGGCGATCAGGATGAGGCGAGTCTTGGCTTTCCGGCGGAACTCACGGTCCTCGGCTGGATCCATCTTGCCATAGCCTTTGAAGGATTTGAGGGAATCCATGATCTTGGTCCAAAATTTTTCCCCTGATTGTAATTTGATGAGTAATTTTTGAAGTGGGTGAGGGGGTGATTTATAGCTAGAGGAGGATGTTGGGTGCGCTTGCTGAAGTAAGGTCGGGTCCTGAAACTTTAATGGGCTTCACTTCAATCAGAGCGCCACTTGGAATTCTGGATGCTGTAACTGATGAAAATTTTAGTCAAACTTTATGCTAAAGCTACGGCCTATTTTAAATTCAATAATTTATTTGAATTATTGTGAAACCTTACTATCAATCGATGAAGATGGTTTGTGATATTCTTCAAAAAAATTATTTTGGTTTCTTTATAGTAATTTCATTTATCAAGATACCCTAATAAAAAATTTTTTTTCTTTATGATGTAAATTTATATAACTTCATAGTTACATCATATGAGTTGAATTTAGATTACATTGAAATTTGATATATCATAAAAAATTTGTTTTGATCGGTCACGAATCTCGAGGAAAAATCAAGTGAAAATTTTCAAAAATTAAATTTGAGATGATCTGAACTTAGATTTCAGCAAACTTACAGTCAAATTGAGCGTCTCGGAAATACAAACCCAACGACATCAAATTCAACTCGATCTATCAGCCAGCTTAGCGTTGTTGGAAAGTTTGAACCACAATTTGAGATACCAAAAGGTTTCCAAACATAACGTGCTTATAGTCGAATCGAGCAGCTTGACGAGATGAATCCAACGAGCCCAAGATCGTCGAATTCCGGCATGATTAAAACCTTTAAATGTTTGATGAACTGTACATGATCAAGGGATTCAATATCGGCCGTCCAACCAACCACTCCCAATTTACCCCTGATCTCTCACCTATTTACGAGCCATGCCACTCAATAAATCTATAAATAGACCCCTAATTTCTCTTGAGAGGGGACGCAAGCAAGAAGAAATAGAGAATAAGGAGAAGAGAAGAGAAGAAGGATATGAGGGAAGAAACTCCTCGACCACCGTCCGGAATTTTGCCCAAATTCCAAGTGACACCGGAATTCTGCCCAACTTCCACGGGATGCTAGATAGGAGGGAAGAAACTCCTCCTCGACCACCGCCCGAAATTCTGCCCGAATTCCAAGTGATGCCAGAATTCCGCCTGACTTCCACGGGACGCCGGAATTCTGTCCGACTTCCACGGGACGCCGAAATTCTGCCCAACTAATATCGGAGTTCCGCCCTACTTTCCAGTAATGCCAAAACTCAGTCCAAGTGACGCCAGAATTCTGCCCGATCTCCAAGTGACTAGGATTCAACTCGAATATCCAACATCATCGAATCTCAAATTATTGTTTGTAACTTAACTTCAATTCGGGAGTAAATTATTGTAATATGATCGTCCTAAATTTTAAGGACGAGTCAGTCTCTTGTACCTCAAGCAAACACTAGTGGAACTCTTTCAACTGGTCGTAGCCCTGTGGTTTTTCCCCTTCCAGGGTTTTCCACGTAAAAATCCTGGTATTTTTATTTCTCTCTTGTTTGTGTGCAGGATATCTATACAACGCTGAGACTAAAACTTTCTAACTCTATCGTCGCATATATTTTAGTCTGCAACAAAATTAATCAACTTAAAGTGACATAACATTTTACATGACTTTTAAAAGAATTTTATTCATTTTTGGTTCAAACCAACTTACCATGCGCAAAGCTATTGTTTCCTGCTCTACATGCGGCACATATTACCTAAAAAAAATTTAAAGCTTGCTCAATACATACATATGTCTATTTGATATGTTGGATTTAAAAATAGTAATTTATAAGAATAAAATTATGAGAAAATATTCTATTTTTTCTTATTTTTAATTTTAAAATGATGTTAAAAAATACATTAACCATTTTATAATTAATGTAAGTTAAGATCTATTTGATTGGCTATAAAGTGAATGCAGTATAAATTAATTCACTTACACCCCTAGTTACAGTAGGGGCTGCTCCCTATAGTGGGAGACAGGACCTTTCGTTCAAATATGTTCTACGTAAAATGACTTATCAAAACGGAGGTGAAAGGCGAAGAGATGTTCCGCAGTGAGGACTAAAGCTTCAAGGAGGTGGCAATGATGGAGGAAGAAGAAACAAAGAGGTATTCTGTGGCCTGCTCCCTCTCCTGCTCCTAGGGAATTCCTTTTTCGCTCTATTTTGAATGGATTTCTCTTACACCAAAAATGAACTACACAAAGAGTTAGGAATACACCGATGAATTTACTTTGCTTTACTAAGCTGACATACCAATCAGTAAAACATTATATATATATCGCTAATTTTGCATTTAGTTTTGCTCGAACCAAACAGCCCCTATGGTGGAATAGCCAAATGCGAACACTTCAACATGTCTTATAGCATATTTGCATCTCGCTGCATTTCTGTCTCTTTCAACCCTAATGTGGAACGCGGATTGGACAAGAGCATTAGGAAATGGTTGCGTGATTGAAGGGGCGCACATGGTTTTCTTGTTTTGTCATCAAACCCGGTGATATTTCAGAATATACATCAACGTTTCTTTTTCAAATTTTCTCCCAAATATTAAAAAAAAATTGTTTTCAATATATATATTCAAATTTTTAAATAATATGATTATATTATATATATAATATTCAGCTCATTTTATTTTATTGAATGAAAGTTTTAACTATCAATTAAGATATTTTAAATTTAAAACTTATATATGAGTTTAATTGATTCAAAAATCCAAAAAAAAAAAATATTTTCACAATTAAATATTAGTTTTGTAATAAAATAATAATTTTAATGAAAAATTAACATCATTGTTTTAAATAATCACAATTTTATATAGGCTTTGTAAAATGGACTAAAAAATGAAGTGCGTCATATCTCAATAGAGTTGATGTGATGTCTTGTATATTTATTTTTGGGTGTCATAATCTACGTTTTGTGTAGAATTAATTGGAAAATGGAGTTGATTTTCTCATTATTGTATTTATGAGAGAGAAGATTATGATATTTGATATGTCATAAAAAATTATCTTTATCAGGCACGAATCTCGATGCAAAATCAAGTTGGAAACTTTTGAAATTAAAATTGGGACCATCCAAACTCCGATTTCAGCAAACATATAGTCCAATTGAGCGTCTCGAGAACACAAACCCAACGTCACCAAATCCAACTCAATTCGAGCCCAAACGGGTCCAAATCAAGGGTTAGAAGCAATGTTGGAAGGTTTGAACCACAATCTGGATTACCAAACGGTCTCCAAACATAACATGCTTATAATCGAATCGAGCGGCTCGACGAGACGAATCCAACGAGCCCAAGATCACCGAATTATGACATCACCAAGACATTCAAATGTCCATCAAACAGTCCATGATCAAGGGATTCAACATCGACCGTCCATCCAACCACTCCCCATTACCCTTGATCTCTCAACTAATTACGGGCCATGCCATTCCAGAAATCTATAAATAGACCTCTCATTTCTCTTGAAAAGGGACCCAAGCAAAAAGAGAAGAAGAAAAGAGAAGGAAGAAGCCCGTCCTCGACCACCGCTGGAGTTTTGCCGGACCACCGCCTGATGTCGTTGCTCCGCCAGACCACCACCTGAGGCCCTCACCTTCGCCAGACCATCACCTGAGGCCCTCACCTTCTTCGGACCACCGCCTGAGGTCCTAACCTTCGTCGAACCATTGCCTAAGGCCCTCACCTACACCGAACCACCGCCTGAGGCCCTCACCTTTCCCGAACCACCCTTGAGGCCATCACCTTAACCGGATCACCACCAGAAGCCCTCACCTTCGTCGGACCACCACCTAAGGCCCTCACCGTTGCCGGACCACCGCCTAAGGCCCTCACCTTCGTCGGATCACCTCCTGAGGCCCTCACCTTCGTCGGACCACCACCTGAGGCCCTCACCTTCGCCGGACCGCCCCAAGACGCCCTCACCTTCAGGCCCTCACCTTAGCCGGACCGCCCCAAGACGCCCTCATCTTTGCAGGATCACCCTCACCTTCGCCAGACCACCACATGAGGCACTTACCCTAGCCGGACCACCGCATGAGGCCCTCACCTTCATCGGACTACCACCTGAGGCCCTTACCTTTGCCGGACGGACCACCATGTGAGGCCCTCACCCTCACCGGACCACCGCCTAAGGCCCTCATCTTTGCTGGACCACCACCTAAGGGCCTGAACTCCGCGAGACCCCCACTTGAGGCCCTAAATTCTGCCAAACCATCAACTGAAGCCAGAGTTCTACCAAATCAGTGTTATACCACTAACTGACACCCCAACTTCTAAGTGACGCCAGATTTAACACTAGACTTCAACCATACAGTTGACATTTGTTATCTGATCGCCCTCAAGGATGAGTTAGCCCAATGTACTTAACTCAAATTCTAGTGAATTTTTTTTTCAATTGGGCTAGGTCCCGTGGTTTTTCCCTTTCTAGGATTTTCCACATAAAAAATATTGTGTTCTCTATGTGTGAGTTGGATATCCGTGCAACGCTAAGACGTAAAATTACAAATCTATCGCCGCGTATATTCTAGCCCGCAACAATGTTAAAATCATCCATGAAACTATAATAATTTATTAGACTAATAAACAAATGATAGATTATTTTGGGGTTGGTGTCACGACCCAACCTGACCGGAAGGGATCTCGCTAGCATCGGGCCGCGACGGAACCTTTAAAAATCCAGGATCTAGCTTTGGAATTTGCTTCAGACTTTCTTCCAAATATTAAATAGACAGAAAAATACAAAGATACTATAAACATCAAAATACAGAACAGGTCATCTATCTTTTCTTTCATCAAAACAATCATATACAGATACAGTACATGGCTTACAGACAGAAAGAACAGAAAAGTCATGACTGTACAAAAATCAAAAGTATAAAATATCTAATCTCAGATCAGACACAGAACTTCTAGTCCAAGACCTCATTCCCTTTCCCAGAACCTGAAAACCACGCAGAAAACAAGGATGAGGTAAAAGTTCAGCAAGACATCACTCACCAATCTAAATCATCAGAAATTACATCAGAAAATAGCCGTACGGAAATCGTAGAACAGATATTTGATCAACAGAAATCAAACAACTAATACAGAAAACTGAAGTCATTTCGAATCGGAGTTCAGAACAAATATCATAAAGCTTCCAAGTCACAGAGCAGACATAATCGTACGGAATAACCAGAATCGTACAGAAATCAGATAAAATCACATTCATATCAAATAATTCTAATCAGATAATTCATAAAACAGATCATATAATTCACAGCACAGATTATCAGATATCAAACATCATGTTTCAGATAACATATCACATATCAATTTCAGATTCCCAAACCCTTACAGAATCTATACGGATTCTGGCCCCTTATGCCTCCCTTCCCTGACACTTACAGAATCTCGATGGATTATGGACACTTATGCCTCCCTTTGTGCTTATAGCACCAGAACATAACATAACAGTTATTCGGAATTCCGGAACAGAACTTATTTTCAGATTTCAGAGCTTATTTCAGATTTTCCTGACACAGACAGAAACTCAAAGGATCCTGGCCACTTATAACTCCCTTCTGATAGCATACAAACACTTCAATTCATTTAATGTATCAATTCAGAAAAATCAGAATTCATACGAAAAATCAGCGGCATAACGGCAGTATACAGAATTTACACAAAAATCACAGATTCAGAAATTTATCATATTACCACAAAATATCCACAACAACATTATAAGACTTTTATTGTACTGAAGTAACATTTTCCAACATCCCGATAATTTACAATTCAATTAAAAAGCCGCATAATCCAAAATATCCGATAAGAATCTTCAAAAAAATACTCAAAACGTGCACAATTATCATCTCAGAAACATACCAAAAGTTACGCAGTAAAACCTTTGTCGGAAGAAAATAATACAAGAAATTCGCTAACGGAAACAAAATTCGAAACATAAAACAAGTCAAAAATCTCATTTCTGAAAATTGAGAAAGGCGGAATGTGCCTTACCTCGAGTCAGTCAACTTCTCCAACTACGGCGACGAACGAAAACGGACGGAAGTTGCCCAAAAATCAACTTTTCTTCTTTTCTCTTCGGTTTTCTCTCTCCTAGACTTTCTCTCTCTTCAAAACGACTTAAATCGGATATTTATTAAGCAGGATCGTCCCGGACGATGTTCCAGATCGTCCCGAGACGATCTCCTCTGGACCAGATCGTGGACCAGATCGTCCAGACGAAATTAAATGCCAATTTCGTCGTCCCGGGACGAAACTCTCGGGTTCAGTTCGTCCCGATTGTTCCAGGTTCGTACAGACGAACATGCAGATTTCTTCACAATCTGTACAGATCGTCCCAGACGATCCTGGGAGGAAAACAGCCTTTACAGTTGGTGGTTGGATTATATTGGTTGGGTGGTGGTTTGGTAGAAACAATCAAAAGCTTATTTAGTGTACTAGCTCTGTTGATTCTCAAGCTAAGTTCTTCCCTTTCATGCAAAAAGTGGAGTTCTATTTGTAGAGTTTTGCATAGTGGAATGTGTAATAAACATAGCCAAAATCCTAACCACTTCATCAAACATCTAATCTTGATTCTCTCAGCCATAGAACATTCCTTCAGCATATAAGCGTCTTAATGATATCGGAATTAAGCGATCTTAGGCTCCTCATATTAGAGTTGACTATATCCATGCAAGATTTGGGGAGCGTTTGAACATCCAATCAATGTCCTAAAGTTTTTAATATGCTTCAAGTGTTTTATCTGAGCTCAATTGGACTCGGGTTTAATCACTATTTGTGTCGACTGATTCATCTTATCGAGACATTCAGCTTGACTGTAAGATTGTTAAAATTAGAACTTAGATAATCCTAAATTTAAATTTGATAGAAGTGATGATTTTCACTAACGTATCAATGTTTTCCCAGAACAATAATAAAAACATCACTGTAAGCCATACATTAGAACTTTGAACGTAAAAATATTTATTCATATGTAAATCTTTATTTAAATTATACTTAAATTTCAACATTAGATATCTTAAGTTTAACTAACTATTTGCAAAAAGCAAACATCGACCTATAAGTTATATTTTTTTATGCAATGCTTAATTAATTTTTATAGAATATTTAGTTCTCTTTTTTTATAGAATATTTAGTTCTCTCTCTCTCTTTTAGAATATTTAGTTCTCTTTGTAATTATCATCCAGTTACATTAGGTCTTCATTTTATTAAGTTTATTTCTTCTATAGTTTTGACACTATATGAAAATAACAATAAAAATCTTTTTTGTTCATCAAAGATATCAAATATTTTGCTTTGGGATTTATGAAAATTAGAATCTTAAATGTAAGTCAGAAGTAAAATCAAATGGTGGGATGTTGTATAAATGAACATTCATAATTTCTAAAATGGAGAAGGGATAGTGCTATATTGGGTTATGAGGTCGTGATTGCATTATAATGTCACATAAAATGGAATATCATACTTGACGTTTCACCAAAAATCCCTCTGTCGAGCATGAATCTTGAGGCATATTCTAATTAGTAACTTTCAAGATTAAATGTAGGATCATCCAAATTTTAATTTCATCAAATTTATAGTTGTTGCGTCCTGGAATATTCGAGGCGGTAGAGGACGCTCAGTTCGACTATAAGCTTGCTGAAATCGGAGTTGGGGTGCTCTCGGAATTAATTTTTGTAGTTTCCAACTAGCTTTTGCCTCGAGATTCGTGCCCGATCAAGCTAATTTTGTGATGCCGTATCAATAGTCAAATTAAACGTCTCAATTAGACAAACCCAACAACACCAAAATTGGTCTAATCCAAGTTGAAATGAGCTCAAACTAAGAACTTAAAGCATATTTGGAATCTTCAAAGCATTAATTGAATGACCAATTGATATTCAAATATGACATGCTTATAGTAGAATTGAGCGGCTCAACGAGAAAAATTCAATAAGCTTGATATCACTTAATTCTAACATCATTAAGGCACGTAAATGCTTGATAAATATTCCATTATCTAGAAAATTATTATGGGTCGTCCAATAGAGCACTTTGAATTTACCTTAGATCTATTTATTATCAGTATGTGTGTTGAATCATCGTCAAAGATTAAACCTAAAAAAATTTGGCTTAAATCAAGCAAAAAAATAAATTCAACCTCTAATTACAAGCATTAGAGGGTACTTTTGGCATTCGAAAATTCGATCAAAATTATGATTACAAATCAGTTAGTGCATTTGATGAAAAACTTGATGCTCATATAAGGCTCATTTATTTGCATAATTGGTCCATCTTAAACAAAATTTAAAAGCTTTATATATAAATGAATATGCATGACTAATGACTCATTTATTTATTTATATATGTTCTAAACATAGTACATAAGTGAGCGATGTTTCGTTTTCGTCTGCTAGGGTTTGCCCCTTTTCGCTAGGGCTTTTGCCCTAGCCGTTTTTTGTTTTCTCGCCTCCGCCCTAGCTTCCATGGCAAACAAGCGGTTGGATCCGGGCTTCCTTGCGGGTAAGAGTTCCAAATCCTTCAAAGATGCTTTGTCGGAGTCTGTTGATGCGAATGCGTTTCCGGATCTTCGAGTTTCTACGATTCGCGGCATGCCTGCTTTATGGTTTTCTGAGGATGAATTTATGCACCTTGCTAAGCCTTTCGAATTTGCGTTGGTAGGGAAATTTCGCCTTAAACATCCGGCTTTGGATGCAATTCGTAGATTTTTCTTCAACCTTAAGTTAACCGGTGATTTTTCTGTTACTTTGCTGGATCAATCAAATGTTTTAATTAAGTTATCAAACGATCTGGATTATGGTAGGATCTTTGCTCATCGTTCATATTTCATTTATGGATGTTTTATGAAAATTATTAAGTGGTCACCTACTCTGGATCTTTCGGAAGAGTCGCCTAGCCTGTTATCCCTGTGTGGATTTCGTTTCCGGGTTTGCGACCTCATCTCTTCTCTTCTCGTATACTCTTTGGCCTGGGCTCTGTTTTTGGTAGGCCGATCCAAACCGATAATGTGACGGCTGTAGGATCGCGTCCCTCAGTCGCGCGCATTCTCGTTGAACTTGACATCTCCAAAAACTATCCTGATTCTGTTTGGTTGGGACCCTCAATGAGCTTTAAAATTGACTTCAATTAAATAAAAATAAGATGAATTTGCATAAATATTACTCAAAATTTTCTAAATTGCATATTTCACTTCTAAACTCTAATATTTATATCATCTACCACCATGTTTGAAATTATTTAGTAGACTTGCCAGATCTCCCTTTCTCAAAATGAGCTCTTGCTTTGGATCTCGTCGTCGCTCATCAACTCATTCTCCTTATGAGCCCTACTAGTGGGTCGATTGTGACTTCGTCGGTTCTTAATTTTTGAAGGCTTTAAAAGAAAGCTTGAGAGCAATGGGGACCAAAACATTATAGTGACCAATATTGATAAATAATTGAACCGATAGTGTTAGAAAGATCAGATCAAGAGCGGTGAAGGCGATGAGACCAACGGAAGTGTAGAATTATGTTTTAGAGTTTTTACATAGAAGTGCTAGGTTTTGTTTCAGATGGCTAAAATTTTTGTACTAAAAAATTACTTTATTAAATAGTAAGAAAGTTGTCTCAAACAAAGCCTTAATCTTAATTTTAAATATAATAATTTATGTTAAATATATAAAAGATGAAGTTTTTTTATGACAGATATATAAATTCCCAAAAATTAATCAATAAACGGTTTGAATGAAGAACCCGAACGAATATCCAGTTTCCAGCTCACCGGCAGAAAAAAAAATGCCGGGAAATACGGGACAACGGTGGTACCCTGTCGATCCAAACTACCAAGCAAATTGCCGGCCCTCAAACTCCTCTCCGCCTCTCCCCTCTCCATTTTCGGACTCTTCGTCTTCGACAGCAAAGACCAAAAAAAAAACACGCGGACCTCCTTCTCTTCTCTTCTCTGCTTCTCCCCAACAATCTCCTGGGCAGAGACAGGTCCGAAGGAGAGGGAGGTCATTGAGATTTGAAGGACGCCACTTAAAACGAGAAAAGTTGGGAAACTTTCTGTCCTAGATTGATTCCAGCAATGTCCTCCTTCCAGGATATCGGCCCGCTCGCAGAGCGCCGCCGTGCCGAGAAGCAGCAGAAGCGGCACAAGCGTCTCTTGATCGCCGGGGCCTCTGTCTCCGTCATGCTCGTCCTTGCCGTCGTTGGCGTCGCCACCTCCATCTACCACTCAAATAAGTCTGATACCCTCACGAGCCCTGCTCAGAGCCTTCCCTCGTCCAAGGAGCTCCATTCTTCCTCTAAATACATCAAAGCCATCTGCTCGAGCACCGACTTCCAGAATGCCTGCGAGAGCAGCCTGTCAAAAGCTGTTTCCGGAAACAAAACTACCAGCCCAAAGGCGATCATCCGCGCTGCCATCTCTGTCATCGCCTCCGCTGCTGAGTTCGGCTTCAACCATTCGGAGAACTTCAAAAACTCCAACAAACCGAGGGTTAAATCCGGCATCAATCTCTGCAGGAACCTCTTCGATGAAGCCTACGACGAGCTGAAATTGGCTCTGTCCCACATCGATATGCACAAACTGGAGGATCTCCCAGCTCAGAAGGGCTACATCAAGAACTGGCTCAGCGCCGCATTGCATTACCAGGGGATGTGCATCGATGCCTTTTCGGATGGAGAGGAGAAGACCAAGATGAAGGAGGCGATGAAGCTGGGGACTCAGCTGACGAGCAACGCGCTTGCCATTGTCGGTGCAACAGCAAAATTTCTATCGTTGTTGGACATTGACAGCATCGCGGGGCGGAATCTGGTTGAAGTGGGGAAAAGGGGGAAAGCTGACACATCATTCCGAAGCGACGGGCTTCCGACATGGATCTCGAAGGAAACTCGGCGGCATCTCAAGGAACATGCCAAGGCAAAGCTCAAACCAAATGTCACTGTGGCTAAAGACGGGAGTGGTGATTTCAAAACCATTAACGATGCTCTGAATGCGATGCCCACGAAATACACTGGCAGGTTTTATTTTATTTTTAATTTGTATCAACGAAGTTAGATTCGCTGGACTTGGATTAATTACTGTTATTGTCATTGTTTTGTAAGGTATGTGATTTATGTGAAGACTGGCATCTATGAGGAGCATGTTGTGATGGGGAAGGAGAAAAAGAGCGTCACTATCTACGGCGACGGATCTCAGAAGTCCGTCGTTACAGGAAGCTTGAACTGGGTCGACGGTGTGCAAACGTCCCAAACTGCAACTTTTAGTGAGTTCCTCTCAGCTGCAAGAATTTGTAATATATATATACTTTCTATTCACATCATCAATTCGAATTTTTATTTGGTCCGGTGTCCTGACGTAGATCAATGTTCGGACGCCAGTAAAATGGTGCCACGTGCTCTTACTCTTTACCGTGCGGCCCGACGACTCGGCCCGGACCGGACGTGAGATTGCTATGTATTGACTGATCTGTGCAGACCGAGGTATTGCTCGATATTGCTCGGCAATAACGAGAAATATCATTATGTCAAAATCAATACCGAGCAATATCCCGGTTTTGCTAGGTATTGCTCAATATTGCTAGGTATTGCTCGGTATTGCTAGGTATTGGTCTTGACATAACGATGTTTCTCGTTATTGTCAAGCAATACCTAGCAATATGCGCACATAGCAATACCGGGTTCCGGTCCGGATCGGGTCGTCGGGCCGCGCGGTAAAAAGTAAGAGCACATGGCGACATGTTATTGACCTCCGGATGTAGAGCTACGTCCAGTGTCTGGACCTAATAAATATTCCATCAATTCACCCCACATTTTTTATAGAAAAAAAATCTAATTTATTTCATTATTGTCTTTTTCTTACTAAAATTTAAAAATCGAAATAATTTTATTTTCATTAATTTCAAACCAATTTTAGATTTATAAGAAATTTCTTAAGAAAAAAGTAGGAGATAAAATTTAATTAGAACGAGTTTTAAATTTATGAATTTTTTTTTTAAAAAAGCGTCTTATAAATTTTATTTGATTATAAACATTTTATATTTATTTAAAATAAATTTAATAAATTTAAATTTTTTATACGTTTTTTCATTTTTTATAGGATTGCAAAGTTGGCCATGTAGCCTAAGCCTTAGTTTTTGCATGACATACCATTCAGTTAAACAAAAATATTGGATGTAAATCACAAGTGAATGTTAGAATCTTCATTTTTAAGATTAATTATTCTGTGTATATGCCTCATGCTGATGTTAATCAAAATCCACCATGTCACACCATCGTTCAATACTGTAGCTCGATATTGCTTGGTATTGCTCGGTACCACTGACGTGATACATTTTGATTGATTTTCGAATAAGACGATCTTCATCCAGTCTCCACACAGAATAATTTCTCCATTTTTCATAAGGATAAATGCTGCTTATGGATAGGTTCAATGTTTATGTCAAATGATTTCTTATGCCTATTAAAAATGTAGGAACTTAATTGGAAAAACATATGATTTATCTTCATTATTTATAATAGTAATATTATTAATGGAAAAGATAATACAAAAATATTTTGATACGTTTATATCAGGATGATGTTAATTATTTTTACAACTATCATGTAAAATTAATTTGTTTTAATAATTATATTTAATTATTTTTCCAAAAAAAAATCCAGCCGCCACCGGCTTCGGCCTGATGCTCATCGGAATGGGCTTCCGAAACACTGCCGGTCCCCAGAAGCACCAAGCCGTCGCCCTCCGCATCCAGTCCGACAACGCCGTCATCCTCAACTGCCGCATGGAAGGCTATCAAGACACCCTCTACGCCCAGGCTCACTACCAATTCTACCGCAGCTGCGTCATCACAGGCACCGTGGACTTCATCTTCGGCGACGCCACCGCCGTCTTCCAAAACTGCCTTGTCATCGTCCGCCGCCCCCTCAACAACCAGCAGAACATCGTCACAGCACATGGCCGAGCCGTCCGCTTCGAGGACACCGTATACGTCTTCCAGAATTGCCGCATCACCGCCGAGCCGGCCCTCGCCGCCGACAAGGCCATCATTCGCAGCTACCTCGCCCGACCATGGAAAGAGTATTCCCGCACAATCTTTATGGAATCCGAGCTGGGAGATTTCATCAATCCTGATGGCTACATGCCTTGGGAGGGGGACTTCGCGCTGAACACGCTCTTCTACGCCGAATACAACAACAGCGGCGCCGGGGCAGACACGTCGCGCCGCGTGAAGTGGCCAGGGGTGAAGGTGCTCAACAAGGAAGACGCTTTGACATGGACAATTCCCCATGTCTACAGCATTCCGGATTTCATCCCTGAAATTAGCGGGAATCTCGCCCAGGTTCGCAAGGGGCTTTCGGGTTGATAAAGGATCATGGAAACCTAATTTCGGGTTTTTTATTTCTTGCAGTTTGTGGGAAACAATTCTTGATGTCGAAGATGATTTTGTTGTTGGATCATGGTATTTATGTGGGCTCGGACAGATCCACATTAAGCCCAATAAAAAAATTCTTTATATATTCATCTATTTTTTTAATCTTTATTATAAGAATTTTTAGACAACCCCCCCCCCCCCATCTTTATATATTCATCTATTTTTTTAATCTTTATTATAAGAATTTTTAGACAACCCCCCCCCCCCCCCCCAACTTTTATTTGGTCCGGTGAACGTACGCAACTCTACGTTCGGCCGCCAGTAGAATCACGCCACGCATTTTCATTATTTACCGCGCGCCCCGACAACCCGACCCGGAACGGACTCAAGATTGCTCGGTATTGCTCGATTTTTCTAGGCAAAAACCTAACAATACCGAGCAAATACCGAGTTGTACCGAGTTTTTTCTAGCAATATCAAGCAAATACCTAGCAATACCGAGCAAATACTGAGTTGTACCGAGTTGTAGAAAAACTTGGTACAACTCGGTATTTGCATGGTTTTGATCTTCACATAGCGGTATTTCTCGTTTTTACAAAGCAATACCGAGAAAATCGCGAACATAGCATTCCCGTGTTCCGCTCCGGGTCAAGTCGTCGGGTTGCGCGGTAAAGAGTAAGAGCACGTGGCGACATGTTATTGGCGGCCGAACGTAGCTCTACGTCTGGTTAGAGGACGTAATAATTAATTACATCATTTTTATTTTTATTTTTTGCAAACAAATCATCGATATTTCGTCCTAGTCATTATATAAAATATTGATTCTATTTTTAAAATGTATTATGTACTCAAGTATAAAAAATCATTAGTCATTAAAACGACATATATATATATATAAATTCTCTATGCTTGTACTTATAAAAATGATTAATTAATTACATCATTTTTATTTTTATTTTTTGCAAACAAATCATCGATACTTCATCCTAGTCATTAGATAAAATATTGATTATATTTTTTAAATGTATTATGTACTCAAGTACAAAAAATCATTAGTCATTAAAACGACATATATATGAAAAAAAAAATTCTCTACACTTGTACTTATAAATTTGCACGCTGGTTCGGCGAGCTATTTAAAATTTTTGTGGAATGGTGTGGCTTTTTTTTTTTCTATTATACAGGCTGATGTGGCGGTTTATATATTGATTCATTAATTTTTGGGATTTTTACATGCATAAAATCTAAAACTATTAAAAATATATATTTAACACATAAACTTCTATAATTGTTAATATACTCTCTTTTAATCAATTATAATATTCCGTTTAAACCTTCCATCAAAAATCACTATCAACGACTATCCTTTCCATCAATGGCATCCTTTTACAGTGAATACAAGTATGAAAAATTATTAGGTGCGGAGTGCAGACGGGGTGAGAACCGTCTGCACAGACACAGAGTACCGAGTGGTACCCAGCGGTACCGAGTGGTACCGAACGGTACCGAACACTGTTTTATACTAGTGTGCAGACGGTTCTCCCGTCCGCACTCCGTACCTAATAATTTCTCATACAAGTATCTCATTGTTTCAATGGAGTGGTAGAATAGAAGGAAAAGAGACTATTAAATGAATCTGTGACGCAATTTAAGCAAATCGATAAAATATCCTGAGAAGATCGAGTACATGCGCTTTCAGAGATTGATTACAGATGGGTGGAAGCTTTGGAATTCCTTCTGGTATTCGGGATACATTTATTAGGCTTTGAAATTTATTAGACTTCGAAATTTACCAGCTTAAATGATCTATTTTTCATACATTTTTTAGACTTTGAAATTCAGATTATATGATCGTAATATGAGGATATATATGTGAGAAACTATGTATAACTAGCAGCAGTTAACTTTAATAGAATTAACTTATTCGAAAGCAAGTTGAAAATCACATTAAAGTTGCAATTTCAAGAGCTAAAGTAGAGATTTTTGCAGCATCAGCATCCACTTTGGCTACCAGCGTCTTGTTTGCCGCCAACTCATCAAAAGTATCACTGCATGTGTTAACATCAGTCAACGACGCGCTCAAACAAGTGATTGCATCGTCTCTCTTCCCCGATCGAATTGCTCCAATTGCTTCCCGCAGAATGTAAACTCCATCATCATAGACTTGAGCGCAAACAGCCAGTGAACTTTTATCATTATCTGTTATATTTCCTCTAAGAAGCTTCTTCACAGTTGCTAAAGCGCTTCTGAAGTCTTCCTTCGCCCTCCTCGTTGCAATGAGAGCGAGGCCTGAAGTACTGGCTGTGCTGCTTTTTGGGTCGCGTTGCAGTGACTTCAAGCAGAAATCGTAGTCTCCACCTTTTTCGAGTGCTACCTGCTTGCAGATTTTTTTTACTGATGCGTTGACGGTGGGAAGCTGTTGGTGGAGGAGGATTAAGATGGCAAATAGGAGAGAAGAGATTTTCATTTTTGATGCAGTCGTTAATTATATTCTTATCATTCTGTGTTTATTTTTCCGTGTTACTTAATAAGAATTGATTATGATGAGTGTTTTGCAAGTATTGTAGCTCATCTTTCCTGATTTCAAGATGGTAGAGTAAAAGCATTTGCATACCATAGTCAACATGAGTGACGCTTATATTTTCTGCTTCATTTTCAAGTTCTTTGAAAATGTTTGTAACGGAAGGTGGGCCTGGTGTTATAGGCCGGGTGAATAAACCTTGCAAAAAGACTCAGAAATTCGTTAAGGATGATCTATTAAAATTTTGATTATAACAAATTTTAGAGGCGTTAAATTTATTTTGGAATGATTGAAATATTTAGAACTTTGACTCAAGTTTTTCATTGTTAATTAGTGGCAAAGCAAATTTAATATTTTATAGGATGTAAATTTAATCATAATATTTTGACTCAAAGTTTTCATATTTAATTAGACTATCTTTATTATTGTGTGATATAATTATAACATTCAATGTTCTTAATCGCCTTCCAAAAAAAAAAAATTTTGGGATGACACGCAATACATGTCCTCATTACAAAAACTTGCCCCACCTTTGACTTAAGGGCATCTCCAACCCAAAAACTCTTTTTTTTTTTATTCAAAATACATCAACATTTAAAAATATACAGTAACTTATTTCCAATCGAACTCCACACGCCTTTTTATGCTGTATAGTGAGTTTTTCACTTCGCAAAAAAGCGAACATAAATGGCGTTCGGGTGGAGCTTGAGGCGGACAGCAAACATTTGTTGGCAGCTCGGTTGGAAATGGTCTAAAATAATAGGTGTGAGGGTGATTTTTATATTAAGGAACGCAAGGGAGAATTGAGAATTGAAAATTTACGAATCAGGATAGGTATGGGGTTTTAGCTGATGTTAGCGGAAGTTAATGTAAGACATGTTTGTGGTTTGGCAGCCTGCTACATTTGGTTTTATTTCCTCGGCATGTAATTTATGTTTAAATAGGAGAGATTATTCTGTGCGGACACCGGATACAGCTTACCATCCAGAGGCCAATCAGGTGCAGTCATGTCATCCAGTACCGAGCAATACCGAGCTCAATACTGAGCTCGGTACCGAGCAGTATGGAGTCGCGGTATCAAGTAGAGGGTGACGTGACGCATTTTCATTGGGCTCTGGATGACATTCGGCGTCCCCATAGAATAATTCACGTTTAAATAGTTGTTATTGACAAGCGATAATACTTTGGTGAAAAGATTTCATAATGATAATTGATTTATGTTAATCAGAAAATTAGCTTACTCTTCATGACGATTCTGATTATTGATACCATTTTTAGATTTTAGCTCATAATTTTTTTTTTTTTGGATGTTTTTGTTAGTAAACTAAAAAATAATTATCATTGAAATTTTAATTGACAAAATAGCATTTATAGGAAAAAATAGTTTTAAAAAAGGAATTTTTACATACATAACACCTAAAACTATTGTTATTACATATCTAACACCTAAACTATATATCATATTTACTTATATACGACCTAGACAACATTCCTAACATATGAAATACCAGTCCGTTAGGTTCTCGTCAAAAGCCGACCCCGACGTCTGCGAGCCTGTTCCTTTTCCAGCACACGCCGCCACTCTCTAGCATCCCCACCTGACATCATACAACTGATGGTGACGACGATATGGGGTAGGTCGCCACACTTTCGCACTATTCCATGCGCCATTTCCTCCAACTCATCGGGCGGTCCCACTGACGAGGTAGGAAACGCCTTCTTGTGAAAGAGCGTCCACGACTCCTCCGGTGAAAGTGGTTGGAGGCGGGGGACCTTGGCTCGCCGCACCAGTGATGGAGGTTACTAACTCCTTTTTCCAGGTGGTGACTATGACAAGGCTTCCATGATTGTTGGACGGTAGAACAAGCTTAACTGCATCCCTCAGCGTGCTTCTCCAGACATCGTCGAATATGAGGAGGACTTGGCTCTGGTGGTTCGGTTAGCACCCAACCGAGCAGCTGCTCTAGATCTTTCAGCCACCAACCAAGCAAACCAAAACAAAGTAATTGAATTTTCCCCAACCAAAGGAATCTCATGAGCCTACACAATACAAATGAATAGGATAAAATAACACCAACTATACAACCATTAATACATTCCTTCTTTTCTTAATATATTCTGTGGTTGCCATGGAATGCAAAGACTGTAGCACAAATCCTATCCATAGCCAAGCGAGATGACGAACAACAAGACAGAGAAAAATAGTGAGCTTGGGATCCAAATTTACATTTTTTATGACCAACTTAATACGTGCTAGCAACTTAGCATGCCTACGTAAGCTTTAGCATATTTGTCAATACAAAACAGAAGTTGCAAAGGCATTCAAAGTAGATGCTGACAAGTTTTATCTACAAAAGCATTCAAAATAGAAGTTACGAAGGCTCGTTGTCTCGAATTTTTCCTTGGTAATTTGCCTTGGAAGACAAACATCTGACTGGAGGACTGCTTGATGGAGAAGGCGAGGCGGGAAACACAGTCGGTTGCTCGAATGGAAAAGTTGTGCGCGAAAACGTAAGAGAAGATAAGACGGATTGGGATTTCTGACGGCACTTAAAACGGAGTGTTAGAATAGATAAAAAGGGGTTTTGGATAGTATATAAGTAAATATGATAGTTTAGGTGATATATATGTAATAACAATAATTTTAAATGTTATGTATGTAAAAATTCCTTTATTAAAATAAAAAAAGAATCCCATTCATTTATTCTTTCTCATTGTCTTTTCATTAGTTTAATGCTGCCAATATTTGTGTAATCACTGAGAGATCAATTATGAGACAATAGATCAAAGCTTGTCCCAAAATAGATTATTGTTGCCTCTTATACTTCCTTCAGAAAATTATCCTTCCCCTGCTCTTAAAAATTTTTTTACTAAAAAATTATAATAGAAAAAAAGTAAGAAAACTCTCCATGAAACTTTAGACAGAGTGTTCAGTACTTTCAAAATTTAAAAATTTAATTATAAGTTTAGCATCAATGCATATTTTATTTTTTTTCATATTAAAAATTTAATATATTTTGTTAACTATCAATAGAATACAAAAAAATAATATTTTTTAATATCATTAATTTATTCCCTCACACTAAAAAAAAAAGAGAAATTTACATACATACCACTTTATGTCATGTTATTTACATATTTAACACCCAACATATCAATATTACATGCCTGCCACTCATATTATAAAGCAAACTTTATCTACAATATCAGAACTCAAAGATCAACATTTTGCTAGTTATAAATTATAATACACTTATCCAGACATGACCGCTGAGGCCCAAAAGCCTTGAAATCCTTTCATCATAAGAAGCAACAAAGCACAAAAATAACCATTACGGCAGCCTACAATTCATTCTCCGCATTGCTCCGTCAAATCCCATCATCATAAGGAACTGAATCGAAATCCAACCACGTATCTCCGTATATAAATTCCGAAACCGTAAAATTATACGCGTCGTCATACTCCATCACATGAAACCCAGGCCAAGTAACTCTATTATCAGTCGCCGCTCCCGGCCCGGAGTTCATATACTCTCCGTAATACAACGTATCCAACCCCTCGTCACCCCAATCCGGCGACCATTTTGTCCACCCGGCCGGATCGACAATGTCATCTATGTACGATTCAATGTACACCGCCGTCGAATACAGCCGCCACGGTCTTCCCAGATAGGTCTTAGTCCCACCCTTATCCGACGCGAGATCGTCCGAAGCCAACACGGAGCAGTTCTGTATCGAGATGCCGGTGTTTTCGTTGGGGTCGTCACGGGACTGCGCGGTGATGACGTTGGTTTGGGTGGGCATGGGCTTCTTGGCGATGAGGTTGCTGCCTTGGAAGACGACCGCGGCGTTGCCGAAGATGAAGTCGACGGTGCCGGAGACGTTGCATTCGCGGTAGAATTGACGGAAGGAGTGTACGTAGAGAGTGTCCTGATAGCCGTCGATGGTGCAGAGGTAGACGGCGGAGAAGTCGGCGTTGATGCGCAGGGCGACGGCTTGGCCTTTCGCTGGACCGGCTGTGTTCTGGAAGGTCAAGTCACGGGCCAAGAAGCCTTGTCCGGAGACGGCTGCGGTTAAATTAGGAAAAAAATCAAGTCTTTGAATATTGTGATTTTTTTCCCAAAAAAAAATATTGTGATTTTTTTTAAGGGGAGGAGTTGTTTGAATTTTAGAATTAACAAGGATATTTGACAAGAATGTAATAATTGAACTAATTAGAATTAGGAATGTAAGAACTTAGTAACGTGATAGCCATAGTATGCTCAAGAATCAGAACTGAATTAGTTAGAGCATCTCCAACCGAATGTCAAACGTGCGTATGACGTTGTTCGGTCGCTCCAGTCAAACGTCAAATCTTCCGTCATTTACTTGCGGGTGAACAGTGCGACGCCAATATTGGCGTTTCACTATTCACCTATGCTATTTTGCTCTCTCAACCGGAAAAACGCGCGAAAGGGAGAATGATCGTTACATTCGTAGAAGTACTTAAAATGCAGTTCGATTGGAGCAGCACCACGGCATTTTGAAGTTTTGCTGTATTTTGCCGTGAAAAATGGAGTTCTCCGTTGGAGATGTCCTTAGAGATTAGTTCCCGGGCGTAAGAATGGAGTGAATAACCTCTGTCAGTAGTACAGTGTTGACCTCAAATTTGGCAGCCCAAATCTTCCCGCCAATCACCAAAAAATTTCAAATAGAGTCAAATTTGAGTTAATTGAAGTCGATTAGTTCACACAATTTTAATTCGACAACGTCGAGTCAAACCTGAATCGAGTCTGAGTGGACTCGATTCACGTCAAATTTGACCCCGACGTCCTCGTTAATCATTAAATTTAGTTGATCCAAGCTCAAATTAATATAATGGTATGGGAAAACTGTGTCAATAATATAGACTATCGAAGGTTAGGAGGGAGAGAAACTGATCAACTTTTCCACCATGTGAAAAGCATTGGCAAGCTGCAGATATTGATCATTGTCAAAAGAAATCTGGCTAATAAAATCTTCAAATAAAGGCCGATCACAATTAAGATCTGCCTCAACTCTCACAATTAAGCCACACCACACACACAGCATCAAAGAGAGATCTAAGGGACCTTAAGATGTAGAAAGTAATGTCCTAACAAGCAGGCCGTGTAATTTTTGGAAGCAGGGAATAGAGAAAGATAAACAAAAATTCAACATATGGTAATAGATTGGTTCATAAATGAAGCGGTCTCCTCAAGACATAGAAGGACATAAGTGTTGCGAGCTAGAATATACGCGGTAGTAGGGATAGGGAGTCTTAGTTTTGCACTTTTGCACCAATATCAAGCACAAAGTCAGAGAAGTTAAGAAATTAAAATTTTTTACATGGAAACCCATGGAAATAAGAAAAAATCACAGGACCACGTTTGGTTGAAATGATTTCACAATTATATGAACAAATTACAAAGGTTGACTTGTCCCTATATTAAAGGACGGTCAAATTACAATAGTTTATAAGGTGGGTTGGACTTCGTGTGATGGCAGATTAGCGAAACTTTGATGGTCGTCGAGTAGAAGTCTAGCGACAGTCAGTGATTGCGTAGAAGTCCAGCAATGATCGATGGTTGGGTGGAAGCCAGGAGACGGTTAGTGGTCATGTGGTAATCCGGAGATAGTTGATGGTCGCACGATGGTCAAGGAGGAACTTGGTGGTAAAAGAGCTCTCAAATTTCTTTTTTTCGTTTCTCTTTTTTCTCGCTCCCCTTTTTGTGAAACATGAGATATTTATTTATAGTTTTTTGTGAGTGGCATATCACTTAAATATGAGGATGATCAAGATCAAGTTGGGAGTGTTCTGATGGGCGGCTGATATCTACTACCTTAAACATAGATTGTTTATCGAGCATTTAAGTACCTTCATGATGTCAAAATTTTATGATCTTGGGCTTGTTGGATTCATCTCGTCGAATCATTTGACTATCCAATTTATGCTTTGAAGTTTCCAAACATGTTTCGGGCCTATGCTTCGAGCCCTCGATTTGGACTCATTTGGGTTGAAATTGGATTGATTTTAGTGTCGTTGGGTTTGTCTTTTCGAGACAATCAATTTGGCTATAAGTTTCGAATGGCTTTGGATTTAACTTCAGAAGTTCTCATTTGGAATTTGGGTTGAGATTCACGCCTAATCAGGATAATTTTTTAACGATGTATCAAGAAGCTTCATATAGGAATGATTGATAAATTACAGAGGACATACAGTTGAAATAGTCCAACAATCATCGGGCGCTATAAAATTTAAATGTAAATAAAAAACAAATGTGTTTTATATTAAATTTTATGAGAAAATGTATTGTATTTAGATTTCAATAAGCAAATTATTAAAATTTAACATAACTATGAAGCTTAAAATCCAATTAAATATATTTTAAATATAAAAAAAACCCATAACATATAAGTATAATTTTTTATGTAATCAATATGAAATATTATTAGTACTTTGGAGAAATAGAAAAATATATTTTAGAAGCAACATGTTCTCTGCCCCATGTCGGTAGATACAAGTGGCAACTAACAAACAAGCTAACAAAGCGACGGAGGAACTCACGTGAGCGACATGTTTGTATACTTTGACGAGGTATACTAAAGAGAAGGAAAGCGAGGGAGATGCATGGTGGATTTTCTCACCGACAGTCGCAGACCGAAATGTAGTCCATCCATCGCCGACGCTCCGGTTGCCTTTAATAAACGTCACGTCGCTGCCCTCGCCCAACAACGCAATGTTCGTTTTATAGCTTGGAATCTGAACATTCTCCTCGTAAACTCCCGATCGAACGACAATAATCGTGGCGTCGGCGCTGTTATTCGGCGCGAACGCCACCGCTTCCCCCACCGTGCTGAAGTTCCCGCTCCCGTCGGCCGCCACCGTCAATACCGACGCCGTATCATAGCCGCTATAATCTCCGCTATCCAACAACAACTTTTTGCGAGGACGTAGCCACCCTGGCGAAGGCCGTGCCTCCAGCCTCCGGCCTCGACGCCGGTCTCCGCCTGAACAGGATACGAGGGAAAGGGAATTGCTGACGTAGCGGTACGAGTTGGTCAATGCATTGATCAGTGCCGGTACCTGCGGGCCCCGAGCGCCGGAGAGGCCTTCGAGACAGGTGTCTTTGTTGGTTAAGGCGGCGCTCAGATGAGCCCGAGCATCGGCGACGGCCTTGCTTGCAGTCGAGGAGCTGAGAAGGGAGGAGGAGCGGCGGAGGGAGGAGAGGGTTGAGGACTGGAGCTCGCGGCAGTCTTGGAGAGCACCGCGATGTGCTTCGACGATAGAAGGATAGCTTAGAAGTGGTGAGGTATTTGAAAGAGCGGTGACTGCTGATTCGAGGGATCTGAGGGCGATGGAGAGGATGGAGGGGTTGATGGAAATGGAGATAGAGAGTTTGAGGGAGTCGAGGCAGAGTTCTGGGAAGGGAGTGGCATTGCAGATGGTCAGTTGATGGTTGGTTGAGTTGTGGGTGGTGGGAGTGGCGGAGGTTAGAGGGCAGAGGATGAGAAAAGAAAGGAGGAGAAGGGAAAGTGGAGCTAAAGCCATGAGAGGAAATGGAGAAGTAGTCGGTAGAAGAGTAGGATATTTATTTGATCTTTTTGCGAAATGCCAGTCCGTGAGGGAGAGGAAATTAAAGGATTGGTGGGACTGGTGAGTAGGGCTGCAAACGAACCGAGCCGAGCCGAGCCGAGTATGTGAGTGTTCATGTTTGTGTTCATTTAATCTCAGCTTGTTCAAGTTTGGTTCATGTTTGTTCGAGCTTTATTGTTTGTGTTCATGTTTGGTTCATTTAAATTATGAGTGTTCATGTTCGTTCGTTTAGTGCTTATCGAGCTTGTTCGTGAACATATTTAATGAATTTTTTTTAACTATCAAACAAATACGTTTGTTGCGGGCTAGAAAATACGCGGCAGTAGAGATTTAATTCTGCATCTTAGCGTTGAACGGATAACTAGCTCACACACAGAGAACACAAGATTTTTTACGTGAAAAACCCTTAAAGAGGGAAAAACCACGGGGCCTAGCTCAGTTGAAAATGATTCCACTAGACTTTGGGTTGGTTACAAATGACTGAATCACCTCCAAGGGTGATCAGATTACAATCAGTTACTTAAGTAAGACGTCAGGTCTTTGGCAGGACGTAGGGACTGAACGTTGGGCCCTGAGCAGGACGTCGGGTCTTCGGCAGGACGTAGGGACCGAGTGTCGGGCCTTGAATAGGACGTCGGGTCTTCGGCAGGATGTAAGGACCGAGTGTCAGGCCTTGAAAGACGTCGAGTCTTCGGCAGGACGTAGGGACTGAGTGTCGGGCCTTGAACAGGACGTCGGGTCTTCGGCAGGACGTAAGGACCGAGTGTCAGGCCTTGAACAAGACGTCAGGTCTTCGGCAGGACGTAGGGACTGAGTGTCGGGCCTTGAACTTCCATATTTAATATCCTAGAGGTCATCTGAACTCAGAATCTTCAGCAAACTTAGTCGAACTGAATCGTCCTGAAAATACAACTCACAACACCAAATTCACTCAATTTGAAGCCCATTAATGAGTCCAAAATCCAAGACCCAAGCAACATTTAGGTTCACTATAACATTGTGGGATTGTGAAATCGGTTTCGAACTATGACACTGCTTATTTCGAATCAAGGCAGCTCAATCAAGACGAATCCACCCGAGCTCAATTGCTAAATTTGATTATTTTTTATTAATGTCGCGAACCCAACCCGACGGGACGGATTCATTCCCCGCTCGCACTGGAGATGGACGCGACTGGAACGAATAAAACTGAATCTTGACCAGGATCTGGCTTTGGAATTTGTTCTCGAAGAACTAAGAATCTTCAAATTTTCAACTGCCAAAACAGGAGACATAGACAGAGCTACTATGATAACATCAAATGCAGCGGAACACAATACATCTATATTTATTTTCTTTTTCCCAAAAGACAATCATCTACAACTCAGTGCCATTGGTCTCAGATAGAAAGAAACAGAGCAGAATGAGCCAATGTCTGTACAAAAATCACAAGAGTACTGAAAATACCTACAGATCAGACTCTGAAATCTAGATCCCTGTGACTTTCCTTCCCTTCAGAAACCTGAAAAAACCACCAAATGAAAAAGTAGGTTGAGCTACACAGACTCAGCAAAAGCCTGACATACACTCCAATCAATTAATTTCTGAATCCAAAAACCAAACACATCAAGACCAAATCCAATCAGAATATTCGTACAGAATCAGAATCAGACAGATCAGAAAACAAACAAGATCAACAGACATCGTACAGATCTAGATACAGAACAGATACGAACATATATCGATATCAGAAGCAGATAGAAATCCAATCAGAACAAACAGAACCTTGTAATGGGAAATCAGATGTCATCATTCAATCCAGATATCAGACATATAATTAGATTACTAAACTAAATTTCTAAACTTTTTAAACAGAATTCACTTACGGGATTTCTGACTCCTTAATGTCTCCCTTGTGCTCACGGCACCAGAATAGAACAGATTGTGCTAAAGCATCAGAACAGAAATAGATTCTCGGATCCGAACAGAACACTATATTTCTCCCACTTGAAGCTCATCTAAGATTTCCCGACACTACTGATCTCATGGATCCAGGCCCCTTATAACTCAACCCCTCCCCTTTTTATAGCATTTCAGATAGCATATCAATTTAGAAGAAATCCGGACAAATCAGAAATCACAGCAAAAAATGAGCAGCACAACGGCTGTTACCACGGAATTTACACAATTTTCTGAAAAATCATAGAATACCCAAATTTGCACTTAATGTAGATAAC